TCTTCTTCCCACACTTCTTTTGCCCTTAATTTTGCCCTGCATGATGTTTCTTAAAAGTTCGTACTTTTCACCTCTCACAATGTGCCCCAAGTATTCCATCTTTCTAGTTTTTATCTCATTTAGAATTTCGCATCTTTTGTCTAAAGTTTGGAGTACTTGCGTGTTAGTGACGCGGTCCATCCATGATATTCTGAGAATGCGCCTATAGCACCACATCTCGAAAGCTTCGATGTTTTTTATGGTCAACTGTTTTAGTGTCCAAGCCTCAACTCCATATAACAGGGTAGAAAAGACATAACACCGCAGCATTCGTATTCGTAACTTTATATTGATATCACGATTGCAAAAGAGTTTGCGCATTCTATTAAATACTGATTTAGCGATTTCTATTCTACATCTAATCTCTTTTGTTTGATCAGTATCGTCTGTGATCCAAGCACCTAGATATTTATAACAGGGCACACGCTCAATCGTTGTATTATCTATTACAAGATTAGCTCTGATGTTCTTTGATTTCGTGATTACCATAAATTTAGTTTTTTTCAAATTAATTTTCAAGCCGTAACTGTTACAGTATATATTGAGACTTTGAACGAGATGTTGTAGTTCTACTAGCGTTCCCGTTAGGAGAACTGTATCGTCTACATACCTTATATTGTTGATCGTCTCACCATTTATTATCAGACCAAGATCTTCTTCCTCGAGTGCTTGTTCACAGATAGCTTCACTATACAGATTAAATAAGAGTGGCGATAAGATACATCCCTGCCGGACTCCTCGACGGATTTGAATTTCTTCTGTTAGTCTGCCCTCAACCTTGACATTTGCTGTTTGATTCCAATATATATTGCATATAATTCGAATATCTCGGCTGTCTATATTTTTCTTTATTAGAACTTGTCTTAGTGGTTCATGTTGTACTTTGTCAAAGGCCTTTTCGAAATCAATAAAGCAGGCGTAAATTTTCTTGGTTCATGTCTAAGCATCTCTGTGAGAGAACGTTCATTGCAAACAGAGCCTCCCTTGTACCCAGTCCTTTTCTGAATCCCATCTGAGTGTTACTGATGTCTACGTCTAATTTCCTATAGATCCTATTATGGATTATTTTTAAGAACAGTTTTAGAGCATGACTCATCAAAGCTATCGTACGATATTCGTTGCATTCCTTTGTATTTGCCTTTTTTGGCAGTAGTATAAAGGTCGAACGGAGCCATTCCCTAGGTATTATTCCAGTTCTATATATTGTGTTAAATAGATCTAGGAGTATTTTAATAGATTCATCGTCCATAAGTTTGAGCAGTTCTACGGGAATTTCATCAGGACCGGGGGCCTTACCACTTTTTGCTTGTTTGATTGCATATTCTATTTCTTCTCTGATTATATCAGGTCCTGTATCATCTGTATATTCGTTTGAGATTTCTTGTCTATCTTTGTCATCAAACAGTTGTGATATGTATTCTGTCCATCGGTTCATTTTTTGTTGTAAATCTGTTATAATTATACCATCTGTATCTTTGACCTGTCTGTGTTGTTCTTATCCTTCCTGTCATTTCTTTAATCTTTTTGTGTACATTAAAAAAGTCATATTTTCGCTCCAATTGTTCCAACTCATGGCATTGCTCACTTAGCCATCTTTCTCTAATATATCATGATGGCAAATGTCTCACATAATGGGCTAAAGCTAAATGAAGAGAAAAATCAGAATTTGATTTTTAGTTCTGATTGGAAGTATATCTTAAGAAATAATGTTAAACTATTAGGAATCTTTATAGACGATAATTTGGATTGGAGTGTATATGAGATTACTTAAGTAATCTCATATAGATTACTTAAGTTCTAGACTTGCTACAAGTATATTTTTTAATACGCAACTTAGTTTATATGATTCCTAAAAATACCCTTAAAATGTGCTACTTTGCACTATTTCGTAGCCATTTACAGTACGGAATAACTGTTTGGGGTAATTCTTCTTACGCAGATCGAATTTTTAAATTACAAAAAAAGAGTAGTGAGGATACTTGCAAGAGCAGAGGATAGGGAACACTGTAAACCTTTATTTCTGGATTTAGGTATTATGCCACTACTTTCACTCTATATATATATATATATATATATATTATATATATTATATATATATATATATATATATATATATATATATATATATGAGACACTGATTAAAATTCATGCCAACAAAGGTAAGTTTAACGTAAACTCCAACGTCCATGATCACGATACAAGATCTAGAGATGCTATTAGAGCACAACGTTTTAGGTTGACAAAGAGCGTAAAAAATTCGACTGACGTTAGTTTGTATAACTTTTTGCCAGATGAAGTAAAAATTCTTCACTTGTTATCATTTAAGCATAACATCAAATCACACTTTTTGAAACATTGTTTCTATTCAAAAACGGAGTACTTAAGTACAGCTTTTACACAATAGTACTAGTTTGGTCAGGGCAGTTGCCTATTATAATTATATTTCATGTTTTTTTATAATTCCACAAAGTGTGTTTGTCGTTTTTTTTTTTAACTGTTAATATTAAATACATACATGTTTGTAATGTTTAAATTATCAAAAAAAAATTTTATATGTTTTATAAGTATTGTCACTATTCCTTTGACTTGTCAAAAACAAAACTATTTTTGTATATTGATTAAATAAATTCTATTCTATTCTATAGATGCTAACGTCTCTTCGCCATTTGTGTTCTCCTTTCTTTAGATTGGTGTTTACAAGAGCTTTTGGATTTCCTTTTCTGTTTCGTCTAAGAGTTCCTGTAGGATGAGTTTTTTTTTTCCAAAAGGGATTTTGACAGCAAAATGCTTTTGTAGCAGTTATCAAGGAATAAATGATGGCCTTTATCCAAATAAGGTTCCATAAGTTGCAGTACTAACGACTCAATTTGAGATAATCCTTCTACATCTTCGGATTTTCCTTTATAAATTTTTATATTCAATACGTATCCGTCTGCTGTACATAGCTCGTAGAACTTAATACCATATTTCGCTTTTTTTCCTTTGATATACACCCGAAAACTCAGACGACCACGAAAGAGAAGCAATGATTCATCAAGTGACATTTCTTCTGCAGGGTAATAAGCTTTTTCAAATCTTCTACCAGATAGGGTGTAATAATAAAGTGGATTCATTGAAAACAACTTCCTTACAGAAGGGTATTTTATTTGACCCTGTAACATGCATATAGCTAAAAATGATTGAAGTTCCTCCATAGTAAATGGCCTGATGGATGCTTGTCTCCTGTATTTTTGCTTGGGCCTATTTACATTAGTCAATATTTCAATGTATTTGTTCATTGAATCAAGAATTAGCTGCATAATTTCTTGATCCCAAAATTTAAAAAAATAGTCTGTAGCTTTAGGAGTATCTGTATCAAAATTAAGATGAAGGCCACTTTGGGAATCGTCAAACAAAAAATCTGGAATATCTGCGGCAATATCATCCCACTCGTTATCAGTTCCAATATCGCCCACCTCTAGCAAATTTTGTATATCATTATAACCCGACAAGCGAGAGCTGGCGGGTTGCGTGTAGAACAAATTGAAAAGTGGAAGGGATTGCTCATTTCTATTGCAGTCGGCTAAGAGTTCACATCGTGTATACCCGTTTAAGTACCTATACTATATACCTATAATCGCGATTAAGTACTAGTGATGTAACAAATGTCATTTTTTAAACATTCGCGAATGCGAATGCGAATATATGCCACCGACATTCGCGAATGCGAATGCGAATGCAAATATTCAGTTATTTTTTAATTTGCAATTTTAATTGTCTCCGGCACTGCCGGCAGTCGTAAGTTTATTGAGGGGTCGTTTAAAAAGGTATTTAGTATTTATTTATAGTCACGTCCGGGCCAAAAACGTAGAAAGCACGTTTTTCGATCTTATTTTCTCTTGTTATAATCAAATTTGACTTGTTATAGAGAGAAAGTTATAGCAGAGAACTAAGTTCTCTGGTTATAGTTCCAATAAAAATTTCACATGACACAAGTCACTCCACTTGCCCTGCTCTGCTCGTGCACAAATACAAGTGAATTTTTAGTTAAAGTGTGATTAGCGATTTATTACTATTGAGTAAATCAAATTATAGTGAAATATGGACTTATTTTTCACCACTTTTCGATACTGAACGAGCTAAATGCAAGCTGTGTAATATTCGCAAAACTTTCGCACAAATTTTGCGAATGCGAATGCAAATGCGAATATGCAAAAATATGCGAATATTCGCGAATGCGAATATTCGTTACATCACTATTAAGTACCTCTCCTATCTCTCTTAGAATAATTCCTTTTCTATTTTCGCGCAGCTCACCCGCCAGCTCTCGCTTGTCGGATTATACCTGTTTCGTCATTTTCTGGCTCAACTCTGTCTTCGTCATTTTCGTTTGAAACAGATTCTCGTTTGCCAACGAATCTTCACCACTAATGGGTTGATATGATGGATCTTGTAAATCATCATCAGAGCTATAAGGTTCTGATTCAGAACTTTCAAATTCATCTGTGCTCACTTCATCCATAAGTCCAAGAAGCCTTGCTTCTTCTCTAGAATCCATTTTCTGTAAAAACAAAAAATAGTATATTTACCGAAAATATAACCTCAACATTTTATTACTGTCTCTCCTACTGATAAGCAGCATACAAATTACTAAATAACACAATCGTAATAAAACAATTACTTACTTTTATTATTCTCCAACAAATCTAGTCAAAATAAACAAAACAACAACAAAAAACAACAAAAATGAAGTGATTTTATGTTATTTGCTGGGACACCTAAGGTGCTTGAATAGTATTTCATGTACAAAAATGTGCGTGGTAAGCCGCTTTGCGTTTTGGCCATTCTCAACATTAGACGGGATATCGCGCTTTGTTCTAGAAAGTAGAGAGGCATATGCCGCTTTGTCCGCGAACGTGTTAAATATTTGATTACAATCAAGTTTTGATTAGCGTTCGAACAACCGGCCCTAAATCTCTTACCTGCACTAATTCAGCCAATACAGTATCAATATTCGAAAACGCCGCTCTAGCTTCCACGAAAAAGTTAAGTTGCTGTTCAAAGTCTCTGCCATAATTCACTTTTCTAACGACATTGCACAATATTTCTCCAATTTGCTTATACTCATCCTCCGGTGTCAAAGCGTTGACAGAATCGTGAAGAATGCCACACAAAAACATCAAGGCGTTAGTTATGACGGGGTCGTTCGTTTTGTATTGGCCGCTACAGGAGGTCAAAATGTTTTTGCAGACTTCTACTTTGATCGATTCCTCTTGGAAGAGATCAACAACTGGCAAAAAGTTATCCTGAAAATAAATAGACTTTGATATTTTGGAGCAATTGTACAACAAATATAAAAAAAATAAATAAAAAAGTTAGTAATATTAAAAATCATATTTCTTCTATATTTCTTTTTATTCGTAGATGAAAATCTTACAAAGATCGATGTGCGCCAGTTAGTGTTGGATTCCGAATGACAAAAAAACGACACAATTAAGAATGAGTATATCAGCCAATACGAAAAATTGCTGATCTGCAGTTTCCTGGAAGGTATAAGTTACACTTATATGTGTACGAAACTCGCTAGGAGATAAATCCAAATAAACATCTCTACATACAAACAATTCTTATTTAAATAACTCTACTATAGATCTAAATTAGCTGGGGTAGCAAAGCAAGAATAAGAAGAAGCTGAGATAAGAAAAACTAAAGAGAAATGGTGCTCGGAGAGATGCGAAGAAATCGAGTAGTGCGAAAAGGTATACGACTATCACAATATGCATAAGAAGATAAAGGAACTCACAACAAAGAAAAGCTACAATATTTTATCGAAAGGGCTGTGCGATGATAATGGAAATCTACAACTAGACCCCGACAAAATAGTTAGAATCTGGGAAACTTATGTGAAACAACTGTTTAATGATGACCGTCCTAGTGGGTATACTCTGAGCAATGATGATACTGGCCCTTCTATTCTAAAATCAGAAGTGGACAATGCTATAAAGGGTCTTAAAAATAACAAAAGACCAGGCAACGATAACGTATACGGGGAAGTATTGAAAATGCTGTGCGAAACAAACAGTCAATTTCTAGACTCACTCGTCAGACTCTTTAACAATATTTATAACAGCGGGAGTTTCCTAAAGACTGGCTAGAGACAACTTTTGTTGCCATACCGAAAAAACAAAAAGCAAAGTCTTGTGATCAACATCGGATGATAAGTCGAATTAACCACATTCCGAAGGCATACACCAAAGTTATTTACAACAGAATAAGCAAAAAATGCGAGGATAACATTGGAGATTCGCAGTTTGGGTTTCGGAATTGTCTTGGTACAAGAGAAGTAATTTTTAGTCTACAGGTACTCATCCAGCGCTGCAGAGATATGAACAAAGATGTGTACATATGCTTTATAGACTACGCAAAAGCAATCGATAATGTAAAGCACGAAAAGATTATTGAAGTTCTTCATAAGATCGGAGTCGACTACAGAGACATTCGAACAATAGCGAGTCTCTATTGGGGTCAAACAGCTAAAGTGAAAGTAGGATCTACATTGACCAATAAAATTGAGATCAAGAAAGGGATACGACAGGGCTGTATCTTGTCTCCTATTCTCTTTAATATATACTCAGAAGAAGTATTTAAGACAGCGCTGGAGGAAAGCACAGAAGACATAAAGATAAATGGAGAAATAATTAATAACATAAGGTATGCTGATGACACTGTGATTCTAGCAAGTAGCATGGAGGAACTGAGTTGCCTAATGAGTAAGATACAAAAAACAAGTGCACAATACGGACTCAGACTAAATAACACAAAACCAAATGGATTTTAGTAAGCAAAACCCAACAACCACCACAGCAACTGATATTAGACAATGAAAGAATTGAACACGTGGGAACATCTACTTGGGAGCAACAGTTAACTCAAATTGGGATCAAGCGAAGGAAATACGTATAAGAGTAGAAAAGGCAAGAGCATCGTTCACTAGCATGAAGCAAATTTTCACCTCTAAAAGCCTCACCCTACCTCTCAAGATTCGACTTCTGAAGTGTTATGTATTCCCGGTTTTGTTATATGGAATGGAGGCGTGGACAATGACCGCAACATTGATGAAAAAAGTAGAGGCCTTCGAAATGTGGGCTTACCGACGTATATTACGTATATCCTGGACTGACGAAGAGGTGACTACGCCGGATAGGTAAAGAGAGAGAGGTAGGAATAAGTATAAAGAAAAGAAAGTTGGAATACTTGGGTCACGTTATGAGACATAATAAATATAGAGTACTACAGCTGATCGTTCAAGGGAAAATAGACAGCAGAAGGGGTCCAGGGAGGAGAAGACACTCTAGAGTTAGCCCTAGACTCCAGCACAGATCAGAGGTAATGTAAGTCGATAAAACCTCACCAGCTACAGGGGGTCATGTAAGATGCCCCCATTTTCAGTTTTTATTAATCAACAAGTTAACAGTCTATTGCATTTACCTTTATAAATACCATGAGGATTGTTTCTTAATACGGATGTCCTTCGGATGTTTTTTTTACTACGGATTTTTAATAGGGATGTTTTTATGTGGCCATACAATGTTTTTAACAACTTTTTATTAAACTGATGATGGAATGATTCAATTCCGAAAAGATCTTTAAAATAAAAATTTTAAGCTTTTAATAAGCATTTTTTATACCTTAATACACACGAACACCACGTGCTTTATATTCAACAGGTATACTAGCCACTCCTGGATATCTCCACTTCATGGTTTGTTCCAGTTTCACTTTTAATGCTAATTAAATGCTATGTGCACAGTGTACTCTACTATGGAGCTGAATCATGGACATTAAACCGGAATACAATAAATCGACTTAACGCGTTTGAAATGTGGACATCTAGAAGATTGTTAAGGATTCTATGGGTAGATAGAGTCACGAATACAGAAGTCTTAAGGAGAATAGGCAGAGAGAGGGAAATGGAAAATAGAATAAAAGAAAGGGAATTGGAATATCTCGGACATGTGATGAGAGGCGAAAGATACAACATCTTGAGACTCATAATTCAAGGAAAAATAAAGGGTAGAAGAAGCGTAGGAAAAAGCGCGTTTCCTGGTTGAAGAACCTGAGAGAGTGGGTTGGTTGCAGCTCAAGGCAATTGTTCAGAGCAGCTGTCTCGAAGGTCAGAATAGCCATGATGATTGCCAACCTTCGTCGCGTAGATGGCACTTAAAAAAGAAAGAAGAAAAGGAATTTCAAAAATAGGATTATTTCAACTTACCATAATTAACAGCATCTCGAAATCTTGAAATTGGGCAACTATTTTTGATATCACAATTTTCAGTTCGTTGTAATGGTTCTCGAAGCTCCTATTGGGTGTCATATGTTCGATTAAATCTCCAAGAACCGAATTTAGCTCTCTGCTCTGAAACAACACAATGTTTTTTTGTACACTGAGTATATTGTTCTGAAGCAAGTAGCCTTTTAATATTATTTACAATGTTTATGGTAATTTGAAGTGTGCATATATACTTTCACTTACCGTGAAATATTCAACAACGAATTGAATCCAGATTTCCGCGCAGGCGATGTACTCATCCGGTTTCGTAAAAGAACTTATGTACCCCCAAACTATATTTAAAATTTCTCGTCGTTGGTCAGCAGGTGGGGGACATACCGTTATACACAGTCCCAAAGTCCTCAACAAGACATGCAGGGGTACGCCTCCATCGGAACAATCGTTGATCATGTCCAAAAATTCCATTGTTCTATCGGCTATGTAAGCTGGTTTAAATCCAGACATGATTGTATTCAATATCAGCGAACTAAAAATGAAGAATGCTTAACATAACCTTAAGAAAACATCAACAAAAACTGGAAAAAAATAAAGGCTGACTTAATAGAACTTTTAAAAAAGTATCTATGCAAAACCAAAGAAAAGAAAATTGGTTAAAAGAAAAATGTGATGAAATAGAAATGCTACAAAATAAACATTCTTTTTTGTGTGTGTTTTGGCTTGGACAATTGTCATTCAGCCAGTCTCAATCAAGATAAGTTTATTAATGTAGTGTGTGTGTGTGTGTGTGTGTGTGTGTGTGTGTGTGTGTGTGTGTGTGTTTGTGTGTGTAGAGTAATTGTCTTGATAACTTAGCAAAGTCGACGTCATTGTCTTTGCTAAGTGACGCTAATTGTATCCGAACGTCTGCGGTCCCTCCGGTCAGTACCGATCACACAAGGATAGAAATTATTTTCATTTATTAATTTTTTTTAATAAACGAAAATCTCCACCCAGGTGAGATTCGAACTCACGACCTTTAGGTTTAAAAGTAGGCGCTCTTACCACTAAGCCACAGAGGGGGTTACACAAAATAAACATGACAGCTTTAATTTACATAGCAAAATACTAGTTGATGAAAAAGGAGACACAGTAATGGATACAGAAAACAAATTGATGGTATGGGCAAACTATATAGAACAGCTGTTTAACGACAAACGAGACAAAATAGATAACAAATATTTCGTTGAAGAGACTGGAGCAGAAATAATAGAAAGTGAAGTAAAACACACAATTAAAGAAATGAAAACTGGGAAAGCAGTAGGACCAGACGAAATACCGACAGAAATATTGCAACTTATCGCCGACTGCAACATACATGTTATTAAATAATTTATTAAAAATCCTTTGTAAAAGGTATATATTTAGACCCAAACGGGCTAAGTTAAAAAGACAAAACGTTTTCGGAATCCATATTCCATCATCAGTGTCTAAGAGTACATGAATGTAGCCACTAAATATATGGGTAAAAACCCGTTAACAAATAATTAATTAAATTTAGTTTACAAATTTTCCTATAATGGTTTAGGATGTTAAAGTTACCGTTGGATTAGGTAACATGGCGACATATGACTCCACGTTGAAGTTGCTAGTCTTGAGACAGTGTGTCTACGAAGACTGTATGGGAGCAACTTATGATAAATTCGAAATTATGCAAATTGAAACCCTACCCGTTACAATAGAAGATATAACAGTCGACGACAATGATATTTCATAAAGTCAAAGAATGTAAAGCAATTTAAAAGTTAACTGAACTGGTATGGTACCAGTATGGAGTATGTATATATAATTACCTGTTTTTATTTTGTCGACATATAGTAAGTAAGTTCGGTAGATATGATTCATTTACTACACAATTAACTGCTTCCAGAATAAAATCTAATGCAGGCGTGTAAAGTGTGATATAACCAGATAGTTGCATATTTTGTCTTTCTAGATCATTCTTGACACCACGACTAAATAACTGAAAAGACAAGTACAAGGTTTTAAATTATTGATAAACTAATTTTAGTTATCGAAAAACAATATATAATGTCTAGATAAGTTTTCTTAACATCAATTTTAAATAAACCCTTACATGTTGATAAGAATCTAAGAATCCTGTAAAATTGGCAAGTAAAAACCCAAATTCAGACTTTTTCTTTAAAACAGTTATTCCAATTCTGCATAAATAACATCTAACATACAAAGCAACTAATGGATTGCCAATTCCGTGGACCATATCAGTCATTCGTTGCAGGCTTTCACAGCATTCGCTAGAAAAGAAAACGCTTATCAATAAATTTCATTCATACAGTTGTTATATCCATATGTGACACCCAATATGTTCATTATATTAAATAAATTAAAAATGGGCTATTTTATAAAAACAACTTAACACTATTCAAGGAAATTTTTATACCATAAATAAAATAACTCAAGATTAGACAATGAGTGTTTGATGTATTCGCTGTCTGCCAGTCTATCAGAACCTAATATTGTGTCATAAATCAAAAGTAATTTGCCTTCTAGAATTGGAGTGACTAAATGAAGTGCATAATTACAAATCCTTTAGACCACAGCCATGCTTTGTGCTTCTTAGAATGACAAAATACTTGTTGGTCTAAGTGGTAAGCAGGTTTTGTATGTTTTCAATAAAATTGATAGTGTGTAAAATAATTTATTAATTAAGCTTGTTATACTTTCGACATAATAAATGTCATCATCAGAGCTATCATCAATTAGGCAATAAATACTTCATAGAAGGAAAATTGTGGACAAACAACATATTAAAAACAAAGATCGGGCTCTCTAGGCCACAGATTTTGGGTCTAACCCTTATACATATGTATAATTCAGATCAAATAGTTAAAATAGAAAACATGGCTACCACATACAGCGACGACAACAGCTGTTTTCGTCACAAATATACAGCACAATCTGATAAAACTTTGTATGTATCTAAAGTAATTTTTATGTAAATAAAAAGTTTATCTGTATAAAGAATATAAGACATAAATGGTAACTTACTTGGTAGATATAAACCGATATGAATTTAAAAGGGCAATTTCTACATATAATCTAGGAACAAGTTCTCGTATTGAAGCTATTTTATAGAACCAATTGAGACAGGTTTCTTTTGCCGTATCAGGAACCATATCAGGTGTAAAATCGTCTGGTAAAGTTGTTGGTGTGATAGAACCAGGTCTAAAAAATGGAAGAATAGAAAATACATATTATCAAATTGTAATTGCATCCAGTCTTAAGCTGTGTTTACAATTTTAAGTCTTTAGTTAATTAGGAAGCTGTTTTCAAATTAACTATGAAATGCCACAAGGTGTTAATTAAATAGCCTATACAAATTCCCTTAAAATTATTACACGGATTTGAACACTTTGGAAATACAAAATTGAACAATTATCCAATAACAAATTATCAATGAAAATTGAAGTAAAATATTATAAGCTTACTTTAAAAATTGGGCTTTTGTTTTCAGTCTATCGTAAACCAACTTTCCAAATGTATCTAAAATATCTGTGACCAGAACAAATTTACTAGGATAAAAAGGAAGTACTTCAGTATCTCCCAAAAGCTTTGCACACTGTATTGCTATTTTCAGAGCTTTAACTCTTTGCTCTGTATTCCAAGCTAAAACCAGCTCTCGATTCAACTGCTCTATTTTCGATACATATTCAGCTTGCGATACATCCAATCTTTGTTGGGAACCTTCCTCGAAAGAGTCCAACTGTTTTAAACGATGTTGGACTTTATCTACAGCAGTACTTTGTGCTTTCACAGTCACTGTAAGAAAAAAAGATATATAACAGATTAACCAGCGACAACAAAATAATTACAAAACAAAATTATATTTTATATTCTACTAATAACATACCCTTTTCACCCTCTGATAAGAAACTTGTAATAATGGATAACTTTTCTGATGTTGTATATTTAGTCAATATGGCAGTTTTTCTCAAAGGCCATGGTTCCATTTGATGAAATAAATCATTTTCACCTTCTTTGCTTGTATTACTTCTTGATGAAGGTAGATTTTGAACACTCTAAAAAAGTAAAATTCGAGTAGTACAAAATTTTGGACTGTTTTTTCAATAACAAATAATTTTCTGCAAATAAGAAATAAAAAAATATGTTGGTAAGGATTAACATGAAAAAAGGATGGCCTGAAGTCTAATCCTTAATAAGTTTTAAAAGTTAAAAAGTTGTAATATTAATAAAATAATCTCAGTTAAGTGACAATCTGAAAATGGTTTATATACTAGTCAATTTTAGAATTCTTGATCAGTACAAGTACCCATGAAGAATACTAAAATATAACAGAGTTCTTGTTCATAAGTGAAAATTTGTAAGAAGACTTTACAATTATAAACAAAATTATTACCGCTTCTGCTGCCATTTTTGATAAAGGATCCATCTCTTGGAGGGCAAATTCTGAAAGAGGATCAAGTTGTTTCAATGCCAGAGTTAGTGGTTCCAATAATGAAACAGGAGTTGCAACTGGAGTAGTCATTCCACTAACAGGAACTGGTCCCAAAATTTTTCTTGCAACTCTTTCTGTAACCTGAAAAAAAAATGATTTTTTATATATTTATAACCGAAAAGGGTTATATTTAAGCAGAACTTATTTTTTGTCAGTGTTAGTGTATACATTAAATACAAAGATATCTACAAAAGTAAGTAATATAATGAATATTTCTTACACATACAACATACAAATATAACAGCTTAAACAGACTTTATTAATGAGATAAATAAACAAATGTATAGCATTTCAGAATAAAATATCTGAAAATACCAGAAGAGAAGTAAAAGAAAGCAATCCATATGTAATTCTTTTTACAGTATTACAGACATTTTTAAGTTTTACAGACATATTCTTCAATCCATGAATGATTATGAATATGACTTCTGCTAATATAACATTGAATATAACTTACTATACTTTTTAAAGGATGGTCATTAACTGACATGCCCAATAATTTACTGGTGGCTGCATGGTCATTGATTACTGTTTTCCTAAAATTAAAATAAGCTGCAATAGCCTAATAATATAGAGGCATATGTCTATATTCTCTGATATAATTAAACAAAAATAATCTTACCATTCTGTATTATTTTCACCCATGTTGTAAATATTATTTAGTTATGACTTAATGTCTGTATTTTATAACTTAAATAATATTATTTATTTTGTATTTTAACACATTTTTTATTCCAATAATTTTAAAAAGTGTTAAAAATCTTAATAAACAAAATAAACATTCAACACCCTTTATTTTTATTTTGATAACAAAATTTTTGACATTTGCGATTGCGGTTTTTGGTGTAGAGCAGAGAACTACGAACACAGGTGTGGTGTAGAGCTTGAGTGAAGTTAACTCTGATTCCAAGGAGGTCGCAAACTTATTTGCGGTTAATATGCAACTTTAAAACAAATGAAAAATGTAATGCTCATTGCAATATTGCGATCAATTGTGATTGTTTGATTAATTCCATATAGTAACTGCACTATATTTCATAACCAGAAAATGACTTAATATTTTTGACCTTTGACTTCACAGATTTTATTGCTATTTTGTGACTGACATAATACCAAATACGACCATCAATCATATGATGACTTTTTTGACGTTATTGTAAACAAATAAATAAAAATCTTATCACAGTAAATACCACAGATAGTAGTGTAAGTGGAATAGTAAAAGTGGGGAGAGTGAATTGTATGGGCCCAACCGTTTATAATGGCGACGGCGCTACTAGTCACGTTAATGGGTTAAGTCAAGGTATGACAGCATGAGGCGTATGACGTTGATGTAAGTGCCGTTGCCATGGTATCACTAGTATTGCATTTTTATATCAAATCTGTGCCCAAATAATGATTATACCACAGAATACACCAGTAACTGGTGTGATTATACTATACAAATGTTGGTTGAGTTTACCGAAAGTACAAGCTGATGATAGCCGCAAATGTCAAACATGGAACAACAAATTTCGGTATAGCAGTGTTGGCATGTTTTAAATCTGTATAAAAGTACATTTTGTTTATATTCTGTTATGAATTCTGCAATTTTTGATTTATATAAAACAACAGTGAGTAAGTATTTGTTTCCACCTCCAAGAGACAGTAATACTTTTGCAATAATTATGTGACCTATTTGATTTAAAATAGTCAGGATTTTTTATACTTTGGCAACTTTGTCAACTTCGATCTCTGTCAATGATAATGACGTGCAACGGTGAGTAAATTAGATGAAGTATATATAATAAAAATTGCAGAATTCATAAAATAGTATATATTTTAAAAGCTCTTTATATTTGAAGCAATCAACATATGCATTGGGCCCTGTGATGTATCAAAAACGTTATATGACATGTTAACACGTTATGTTAAAATAACGTTTGATCATAACAGCCTGTATAACGTGTTGCAAACAATTAGATGTGATGTATCAAGTTTTTAACGTGCACGTTATGAAGCATGTTATTCTCAAAACGTTAAAGTAGAAGAAAGTATTGTCTTGCGCGACAAGAACAACAGTATACAGAAATTGAATAAGTTAGAGAAAGGCAGACGTCAATAACAGGCAGCGAAGTACGCATCTTATTCAGCGCACATCTGGTACCAAGATTTTATTTGAAACTTCCCGGTCCATGTGGCGTTCTTCTTGTGCATTTCAATTATTCCATTTTTCCTTTTCGTGTTGTGTAGTTGTGTGTACAAAATGGCTCAACGTTTAAAAAAAACCACCAAATTTCAGTATGAAAATTTAATATCGTTTGTAGAAGAAAATAGGGTATTACTGACGGGTAAAACAAAGCCCAGCGAAGTAAAAAAAATTAATAAGTTGTGGCAGCAATTCTCGGAACAGGAAAATGCACGTGGTAATGGACCACCGAAATCTGCGGAACAGTGGAAAAAGGTAATTAAAAATATTTTTAATTAGTCCAATCAAAGACCTAGATTTAAATAAGTCTTGAAAAATTACCATTTTTAAGGGTTTTTTGCAATAACAACTTAATGCATGTCTGACGCCTTGAAATACTTAGTGTGAGTCTTTCTCTTTCACTGTTTTCATTAGCCTAATAATAAAAATTGTGTCTGTTGTGAACCTGCATTGCATAAATCCAAATTGAATTTTTGATATTTGAAATTGATAAACTACCTTCACAAGTAAATATAAATAATTACTTTTATACCCGTAGATATTTCTCGAGTGGAAAGTGAATACTAAAAGGAAGAGTAGGGAAATTCACTCTAGTATGATGAAAACTGGTGGAGGTCCTGCAACTACAAAACAGTTGAGTGACACTGAAGATCGTCTCCTAAATGTAATATCGAAAATACATTTAGGGGATACTGAGATCTTTGATACTTTTCAACAACCTTCTACCAGTGGTAAGAGAAATGATCAATTAATTAACAAAATGTTTTAATAGCTTTTTTGCAGCAATAACAGTAGATGTTACAGATGTTGAAGAAACAGATTTGATATTTGTTGAAGGTAAGATTTCTTAAAATTTTAAAACTAACTTTTTGAAAATATTCCTTATTTTAGATATTCCTTTAGTAGAAACACTCCACAACTACGCGACAAAAATGGAGGAATCTGCAAATGGTATGTTCAAATATTTATGGTTGTGTATAAATAAAACAAACTTTTATTGTAGATTCTTTATTAGATCACACACAGGGCGAGGGGGAGGTGGAGGAAAGGCAAACTGAAGAAGGTATATACATGTATTTATTTTTTAATTAAAAAAAAAACAAAGTGCATTCAGTTCAGATAACATTGGAGACAAAATTTGTTGTGATAGTAAAAACATAAAAAAAAACTATGAATTATACATTCTTAATTCACCATATAAATATTGAACAAGTTAGTTTAAATGTTCTGCATATTTACAATTAATTAATTCAATTTTCAGTTATAACCAAAAGACAGAAAATATATCCAGGTGTGACATAACGTGAAAAGAGATTTTTACACTATTGAAACTAAATAAGAATAAACAATTAAAAATATTAAATTAAGATATACAAATATATAATATATTATACAAATTACAAATATACTATACAAATTACAAATATATACAATTATATACAAATAATTTGCCTTCAAAATTAAAAACTATAAACAATATAAAAAAATTCAAGATCCAGTTAAAACAATATTTCTATATTTGAATGTAAAGTAATTAAAGTTTAATAATTTTTTGTTTTTTAAATTTACAAATATGTTAATTGTATGTATTAAAAGAATATTGGATTTTTTATGCACTTCTGTATAAACACTTTATTTCTTAAAGTTAATTAACAAAAACAATAGTAATATTTTAAATATTTTCTAAAGGTGTGACATAAAAATATAGTTTTTGTTTAGAAATACCCATGTAAAATATCAAAATATGATACCTATTCTTAAATTTCATTTTTAGGAGGATTTACTGTGAAACAATCATCAACAAACAAAAAAGGTAATCCTAACACTTTTTTCTTAAATATACATTAATAATTTGAGAAAAGGCAGCAAATATTTGATTTCACGCAAACAAATCCTATGTATCTCTTGATACGTATTTCGACCTAATAGGTCTCGTCAGAAGAGCTATTCATAGGGCTTCTCAACGTGAAAAATCAATATTTTCTGCCTTTTAAGAAGCAACAATAACATGGCTTCAATACGGACGCAGTAGCGACATCTAATTACATCAATCGTAAAATAATTTCAAAACACAATTCAGATTTCTGCTTTATAATCTGAGCCTTCTAAAAATTGCAAGGCAAACAGACGTTGATAAAAGATGTTAAAAGAGACATGGGGAATCTAAAATTTGCATTCCAATTGAATGCAAAATTTAGATTCCCCATGTCTCTTTTAACATCTTTTATCAACGTCTGTTTGCCTTGCAATTTTTAGAAGGCTCAGATTATAAAGCAGAAATCTGAATTGTGTTTCGAAACTATTTTATGATTGTTACATTAATAATTCTTTTATTCATAGAATATGTTACTCCAAGAACTGCAGAGCCAACTACCAGCAGCAGATACAGGACCAAAATGTTGCAGTCCGCATGTACTGCATTTGCTGAGGCCCAAAAAGTACTACAAGTTACCGAACAATCAAAGGGGGAACATATTCTGGAATTGGCTAAAAGCCTTGACAAATTTACTTCTGCCTATAAGGAAAGAACAACAGAACTAGCTGTGATGGAAAAGGCCAAATTAAAATTTGAATATTTAAAACATTTTGAAAATTTAGATAATTTTGATAAATTATTTTAATAAAGTTTAATTTATCTAAAATGTCTTTCAATTAGTTGCTCCTGAATTCTCCTGCCATCGTTTAGGTAGTTTTGAGGTCCTGTAATAAAACAAAAAAAATGTTTTTCTTTTAAGTAAGCACATTATTTTGTCTATACCTTGTACAGGGTGATTTACATCTTCATGTTCCACTTCTATGTCTTCTGGCAAATATAGGTCTCTATCTATAACTAAATTGTGAAGTACCACACAAGCCAACACAATTTTGGCAGCTTTTTGTGGTGCATAATGAAGGACTCTATGTTTTAGAAGGCACCTAAAGCGCTGTTTTAGTACTCCAAAACATCGTTCAACTGTATTTCTTGCCAAAATGTGTTGACGTGTGTATCTCCCTTCAGGGGAATCTTCTGGAAAATTTTCCATGGGGGTAAGAAGCCATGGTTGCAATGGATACCCCGCATCTCCTATAATAGAAAAGTTTAGTTGTTTATTTTCATTATATTATTCTATAGCATTTTGCTTGTGGCATTCTGCATGTTCAGGAGAATTTGGGAATAAGCCACAATATATTGAATGTCTCAACATCCAAAATAGTTTAAAATACACATTTTTTTTTGTAATAACTTTGAAAATGGTCTCTGCCTTATTTTTAAATATCTCCTGAAAATCAATCAAAAATTATATTACTTACCAATTAACCAAGTTGAATGTAATTCATTATTTAGGAACATATTTTCCAAATGCTCTTTTATAACCGCTCATACCCCATATTGCTGAGTCATGTGATGATCCAGGAAAACGAGCATTGCAATTTAAAATCTTTAAGTCTGCATCACAAATCTAAACCAAAATAAACAATTAATATATATATATATATATATAATATATATATATATATATATATATATATATATATATATTATAATACATACAATGTTATTAATTACCATTTGAACATTTATACTATAATAACCTTTCCTATTATAGTATGCCAGACCTGGTCTTACAGGATCATTTGTATTTGGTGCAACTATAGCAATATGGGTACAATCTATTGCACCAATGACTCCAGGAAAATTAAACTTTTCATAGAATCTAAAAAGTTAATTAAATATACTTATATGATTATATATATATATATATAATATATATATATATATATATTATATATATATATATATATATATATAAAAGCTAGACAAAGTCAAAAGAGTGTTTCTTTGATATCCTGGCCAACCTTCTGACTGCAACTCCAAGAAATTTGCTTTTTGTTTCGTCTACCTTTTGGGATGTTTAATCTCTTTATCAAGACTCTGTAATGTAAACCACAATTTTAAATATTATGTATTTTGTTAATGGTAATTCTGTGTCTATTTTATATAATCTCACATATTGTAAGTATATTAGTATAATGTAATATTTTGTAAAATATTTACAAGTGTGTTTACATTACAGCATCTTGACAATGGGATTACATAATCTCAAGAACTAGGCAAAACAAACTCAAAAGAGTGTTTTTTATATCCTAGCAAACTATCTGACTGGACCTCCAAGACACTTGCTTTATATATATACAAATATATATAAAAATTATACAAATTTTTAATACAAATATATATGCTGTATATATATAGAAATATTAATTAGATATGTTTTATGTTTTACCTTTCTTTTACTGCTTGGCATTCTGCAGGGGTGACAGGGAAGTTAACATATCTTGGCAACAGATGTTCTACCATCGCATTAGTTACTTCTGTTAAAACTTTACTAAAAGTGGACCTTTCCATAGTAAAAAAAACACTTTGTGCCACACTGCCCTGGTAGGACCCTGTTGCAAAAAATGCAAGAGCACTTAGCACCTACAAAATATAACATATTGGAATATATTCACTTAATTCTTAATATAAACAACATACCTTGGTTTCATGTGCTAAAGCATTTGATCTTTGCACTTGTCTTAGATGGGGCCGGAGACTTTCGACCAAATTCCAAGACAATTCCCTCGATAACCTAAATATCTTTTGAAATTCGGCTTCCACTAATTCAAAAGGATTTAACAAATCTCGCAAAACTCTTCTTTGAATGTTTTCTTCGTCCCTACAAATAAAATAGTGTTGTTTACAAATAACATAACCTAAATAAATAATATACTATAATTAAAAATAACTTTAACAAACCTTCTAATAGCATCATCTAATTCTTCTAGTAACACATGGTTTAGAATCTGGCCAAAATTCTGGACTAAATTGTTCATTTTATATTTTTATTAATTACACGTTATCCCGATCTACAAATAGCATGAGGTTAAATCGTCCCGTTAAATTAAACCTGTTATGTTAGCAAGATAACGTAAAACGTTACCAGATAACGTTTTTGAGAAACGTTATCTGTGATACATCACATCAATTTTTAGAATTTAACGTAAATGCAGGTTAACGTGCACGTTATTTATAACGTTTTTGATACATCACAGGGCTGATTAAGACAGTTTTACATTATGCTATTTTGATGCTAGGCAAGAGCCATGCAAGACAGATCATGGAACTGCGCATGCCCACGGGCTATTTCCATGCAATTCCTGTGCTAGACGAAAAAATTAGAACATGTTCTATTTTTCATGCAATTTTCTTGCAATTTATCGTTAAAATTCATGTTGCCAACATAACAATTTATAATAGATTACAGAATAAAACATAACCTTATCTCAATCTTTAGCGTCCCTTAACCCACGTGTGTATTGCTGTGTTATGATTTAAATTAAGTTTATTAAGTGGTGATAAATAGATATACTATGTCTAAAGTTAATGTAAAAACGACTGGGTGAGTCGTTGACTATGGATGATTGTTGCTACAACAGCAATATTCAACAATAACAATGCTTTCTTTTCTTTGGTTGACATCTTTCGCCCTTTTAATAACCATAAATAGTGTATATTTATTTATTATATTATTTATTTTAGTACTTAATTATATTTTTTATTTAAAATAAAATAACCTCAAATTGATAAATATTTTCTCTGTTGGCAACAATGAAAGTTGGATCTAAAATTGCACAGAAATATCTCTGATGTAAAAAGGTCAAGCTAGGCAAGAGATGTGCTATGCAAGGCGGACTTGCATAGCATGAGACTTGCATGGCCTAGATGTAAAGCTGCCTTTATAAAAACATGCCAACACTGCCAAACCCTAATATTTGTGAAATATTTGTTGAATCCTGACTCATAGAGAATATTTTTTGAATTTGTCGCCTAAAATTTAGAACTTACGTTTTGAATTTGCCACCAAATAAAATTAGTTTCGGCCCGTCCGCATTTGGCGTTAGAAACTCTCTCCCAAAACTTTCTATAGGACTTACCTTACTGAGGGGGTATATACTATGGCTCAGAATGTCTGAATTTATTTAAATAGTGGGGAGCGAGGCACAATAAAAAAATAATAATATAATAGTTTCTGCCCTATTGTTTTATGTCATTTTTTATTGGAAAGAAATTGTTAAAAATCAAATTTCCTTTTAGAGTAAGTGGGTATAGTAAGTTGTTTTCGTTTGATGTCATTATTGTTAAATTGAATGTTGTGTATAATTGACAATTAATTTTGCATTATTTTTGTTTCTAACTACTTATTTAGCCGGTCTTTACGATGACCTTCAAAATTTATTTATTCCTAATACTAAATTATCTATCACATATTTATTAAATAAAATTTATTATTACATTTTTATCAATTCTGATATATTATTTTTATCACAATAGGAAACAATTATTCTAAGATAATACCTGGTACTGCCCAACTAGGGCGTACCAGGTATTATATAAACTTATATATTTTTAGTGTTTATTACTTTGTTTTTCATTTATTTTATGATGTTTCAGTATAATCCTAGTAAAATACTTTGTACTTTTTAGATGGAATTTTTAAAGCAATATGCTCCTGATACAGTGAGTAGACAAAGGTAAGTATGAAACTATTATAAAAATAATTTTGTAAATATTAAAAAATTTATTCATTTATTATACTGGTACGTTGAAAGTGGAATGACATATTTGGTATGAAGCATCTTGGAATTATAGACCCAGACATTGTTTGGAATCCAAACTTTGGATACAACAAAAGCAGGTTATACCAACCCCTTCATTAATGACTTAAATAAACATATTTGGTACATCCTAAATTAAATCTCTGCAATTAAAACCAACTTGGTTTTTGGTTTTTATGTATTGATCAGAGTGTTGCAATGTTTTATGTAGACTGAAATGCACATAAGATAAATAGTTTATTTACAGTTATACCAATTACAATCATTCGAAAACTATTTAGAGAGCTAGAAAAAAAGTCTACATCTAAACCATTTCCAGATTGACACATTCGTCTTATAGGTCTATTTAGACAATAGTTTATTTGTTGAAATTCCAAGTGAAGAACATCCTTGGATCTTGTGCACCTTTAAGGAACCCTAAGACCTATTCTCTGCAAAATTTGAGGCAAATCTATCATTCCGTTTACAATCTTGAAAAGAAAAACCAAATGTAGCATTAAATAACGATTTTGTAATGTTGGTATATTAAGTAATTTTAAAATGTCACAATACACTATATCTTCTGAAGAAATCCCTAATTTATAGCCTACAAAGCGCAAATATTTTTTCTGAACTTTCTCAATGCTTTCAATATGACATTTATATAAAGGAGATCAAATAGTGCTGGAATATTCCAGAACTGATCTAGCCATAGAACAATATACACTTTTAAAACAATCTAGGTTATTGAATTCTGACAAGGTTCTTTTCAAAAATCCAAGTAATTTAAAAGATTTTAATATATTTTACAATTATCTACAAAAATAAACTAGGTAATTTTTCAACTCTAAATTTGTTAATTGTTTTTTTATTTCCAGGAAGAAGATAAACTTTCCGTCAGCAGACAGAAATAAAGAACCTATCCTAGAAGTGCTCAAACAATATTTTGATAATACCATCGAAGGAAAAGTTATAGAAATTTCATCTGGAACTGGCCAACATGCAGCATATTTCGCTCCACATTTTCCAAAATTAACCTTCCAACCAACTGAAAACGAAGCCTCTTTATTAGAAAGTATTTCAGCTTATGCGGCAGATACACCCACGAAAAATGTCAAAGAACCACTTCAGGTAAACATTGTGGATGATTGGACGAAGTGGAATGTACCGAATGACTTTGATTACGCAATAAATATAAACATGATACACGTTACACCGTTTTCATGCACAATTGGCCTTTTCAAGAATATCAGCGCTGTTTTAAAGCCGGGTGGATTACTTGTTACATATGGAGCGTATGCAAATAACGGCGTTTTGGAACCTGAATCTAATAGAGAGTTCGACAAAAGTATAAGGCAGAGGGATCCAAATTGTGGAATAAGAGATATTCAAGATGTCGTTAAAGTGTCAGAATCTTATGGAATTAAACTTAAGGAGATACTCGACATGCCAGCAAATAATAAATGTTTAATTTGGCAAAAAGATAAAGAATGAATATTTTTATACAATATATAATATGTAAAGAAGAGTAAAGTATTACGAAAATTTTTTTTTCTTTTTTATTGTTTGGTCGTATTATATGCGATAACGTACAATTTGTGATGTTATTACTGACCAATTGTTGCTATAGTTCACTTCACGGATTTTGTCCAATAGTGTTATCATGCTGGAGGCACATTTTGAGTTACTCTTCTGTCAGATACAAGCAAGTTAGAATTTTAATCGCAGATGTATGCTTTTTAATTCTCCACCTAGTAGTACAAGATCCCACTGCAGGATCGCTACGTACATTACTTTTTTACCACCCACGAATAAACTGTATGACTTCTATAAATTACCATCAATAAAACCCATCACTAATTTTAGCAGTTACTGGATGACATTTCTCTATTACAAACAATTCCACTTCTGTCCGCGTATGCTCTTTGGCATATAGTCATACCTCAAATTAACAAATCACTTGCAAGATACGATTTCCAAGGAACTCATAAAAACTTTTAAAGAAATTATCTTTACAAAAACATAAGACCTAGCACTGTACACTGATGCTTAAAAAATGATACAGTAGTAGCACAGTTTAACCACAAACTTTTTCTTTTTTATACTATGGTAGTAGACTGTTCTGATACAATTTCACATACTCTTATCAGGTCACCTCTTATTCCTTCATTTTGCAGTATTCATACTGGCGAATTATTCAGCATAGTTCAAGCTATCAAATACATCATCCTCAAAAAAGAAAGTTGCTATTTGTACCTTAGACAAGGAAAGAGAGGAGGGGTAACGCTCGTTCAACCAACCTTCAAAAAGTGATACCACTTTTTGATGTGTCCGCCATTTTTTTGGTGGCAAACAAAAGATCTGACACAATATTTATAATAGTGCAATTAGGTATTAATTAATTTTACTTTTTATACTCAAAACCAATTTAAATTAGTATTTTAAGGAAAGGTGAGATCTAAATTAGTAAATAAGAATGCTAAATATGCATAGTTATTTCAGTCATTGTATTATAATTAATAATTTCATAAATTAACAAAATATTTGTATAAAATAAATTAAAACATTGAATGTACAAAAATGTTTCATTTTAAATACGAATTAGTCAATACTTAAAAATACAAAGATACACCGCTGACCACTTCCTCGGTGGCAGATTGGCTTCACTTTTAGCCATGATACTATGACTATAAGATAAGATATTGCGCATGTTTTTGTGACGTCATTGGAGAGTTGCACGTTCGAAATGTCAATTTTTTGTATATATCAATAAATAATTTGGCGAATGGATTTAGTGTCCGCAGTCATTTAAACACAAACAAACAACAACAACAATAAATAATCTTTAATAAATAGTTTGGAGATATCCTTATGTGTACGATTATTGTAATTATTAAACCTCTTAACTTATTTTCGTTTAGTAATTTCATCACAGAATGCATACAAATCCCATTTAACTTTAACAAGATTTAAAATTCTACTCTGCAATGACTGCATGCACGAACCCGACCGATTTTGAGCTACGGGAAGATCCTATCTTGTTATTCATAGTATCATGCTTTTAAGGCGCCCACTCACCAAGAAGGAAGAATGCGCAATTAAGTCTCTGCATATTTGCTGTAAGGTAAACCCGTACGCTCCACGCCGGCATACACCAGTACTTTTGCTTTCAGTTTAGAAGTACGGTTTAAGTGAACATGACGTCAAAAAACGATCTTTTATTAATGGCAGTGGCGTGTGTTTGTATTAAAGAAAGGTGTCGTATAAAAGAAAACCAAGGTAGCAATGGACAAACTCTTGGTTACAGAAACGAGCTACGTACTCTCATGTCAGTTTACTGGACGAATTGCGACTGGATTCATCAGATTGGCATAATTACTTGAGAATGGATCAAGATACGTATTTTGAACTATTATCTTTAGTAACTCTTTTGATACAAAAACAGGACACGCGAATGCGGCAGGCTATAACGGCACATAAAAGGCTAACTGCTACATTAAGATTTTTGGCAACGGGAAGGAGCTATGATGACTTAAAATTTTCAACAATAATTTCAGCTCAGGCATTAGGTCGAATTATTCCGGAAACATGTGAAGCAATATGTCGTGTATTACAAAAGGAAGTAATGAAGGTACGTTGATTTGCAATGTACATTTTTTTTTCATTAGAAAAAATAATCTTACCTATATAAAATTCCTTTTTATTGAGATTTTCAATAAAGACAAAGAATTGAAAACACAAAAACTGAAACTAGAATCGGTACAGATCATACTAAAAATATTAATATTCAAAAAAATATCTTTTACAAATTGCAGAAATCAGTATTATTAGAAAAATTCTTATAATATGTAGCAACGGAATTGGATTGTTGACCCATTGAACTCGATATCTGAATATTGACTTGTTATTGACTTTCACGTTGAGGTAATGTAGACACAAGTGGCATATTTACCGAAAGAATAGAATTTTCATTAAGCCTTCCTAATTCTGCATTGTAAAGTATATCATTAAACAACTTTTCTGCAAAAATCCTTGTGTTGGTAGGTCTTCTTAATTTGCATGCTATATTCTTTCCTAATCGATCACTGTATGCTTTATTTTTAATCTGCCATAAACAGGGATAACTTCTGTATAGCTCTATGAATTCCGTAATAAACTCTCTTGGCATGCACCTTATATCACTGCAACATCCAACGAACAGTCGTACAGCACTGATTGAAAATGAAACATGCAGAGACTTGTTGCCCATACACTCTCATTCTTCCCCGCGCGATGATAATTGCACACGCTAAAAATCAAGACGATCCTGATTTTGAGAGGCATGGTTGCGCATTCTACATTTTTCGCCATACACACACACTTTTAACTGTACCCCGTGCCATGCACATTCAATCCTTCGCGCTTCCTTCTGAGTGAGTGGGCGCCTTTAGCGATAAGGTTACGCATCCTTTCTCTTTCCTTGTCTAAGGCTTATACAGACCCTCTAACCTCAATCCAATCTATCCAAAATGTATTCACTGATCATCATATCGTCCAAAAGATCCATGCCGATTACCAACTTATCCTTTCCCAAAATATAGCTTCTTCCTCTTTATAAGCAATTCTGCTTGTTCATTGCCGGATTAATACCTCTATGGAAGGTTGTCACTTCGTTTTTTGCGCGATTTCTTACTTATCTCTTGCTATTTTTAAAATATAACAGTTAATCTAATCTGGTTACCAACTCATATTGGTATAACACGCAATGAACCTGCAGACCACCATGCAAAACTTGCCTTAACATCTGATCCCGCTGTTAACATTCAAATTATTAAGGATTTAAAATTTTGCATTGAAAGAAGAAGAAGAAACCGATGACAACACTGGGACACCAACTGCTTACATTTACATCAAATTCAATATTTAATCGACAGTTCACACACTTTTGGCCGTACAAGTTTGTGATCGAATATTCAAAATTAACACGTGATTACCTGATGTCATTCTTGTCAAAGTTGTCAAGCACAACTGATAATCAATCATATACTCACCGAATGCCTTTAATATTCAGCCAAACGACTTTTTTATAGCCTCAAAAATAATATACAAGATATCCAAAGTCATGCGGATCAAATAAACCCTTTCCTAAAATTCCTTAACACGTAAAGTGCCGCAATGTAAATCATATTAACTGTCCATATTACCCGGCTGTTTTTTAATTAATTTGAAACTTTTTTTATTTTAAACATATGAATAACTTATTTTATTTATAAACTAATATTTTTTAAACAAAAAATTTTTTTTCGCATTTTTTTGGACTTGTGCCATGGGGGACAACGTTTGTCCCTCATGGCACTTTACATGTTAAAGATCGAGTTGTTTTATAGAATATAGTTTCATTGTAAGATAAAATTTAACAAAATATTATTTATTATACTTAACATTTTTTCTTTGCATTCCTTGCGCAAGTGTCCCAGTAGCCGAGCATATTAATTTAAAAAAATATATCATTTTATAAGCCTATAACAAAATAATAAAAACAAATTTTGGTCTCTTATTTTTTATTGAAATTTATAGATATAAAATTCGACATACAATATAAAATATTTAATAAGGTATAAAAGCTACGTTTATAATATTTAAAGCTTTTTTTAATCATAATAAAATAAGTACATATCAAATATTTGGTGTATATATATAATAAACAAAGTAAAAAAGATTCAGGTGTTTTTAAAACAATATTTCCTGACAAAAGTCTTCAAAAAGCTACATTTTAAAAGTTACAAAATATCACATCAAAGGAAAAATAATTAAAATATGTGAAAAGTATTTCCATGAATGCTTAATATATTTAAAAATTTAGGATTTTATTAGTTAGTTTTGAAAATGTCCATGTAAAATGTTCCTGTCCATTACAGCGCGATTCAAAATTTCTATATTTACTTTTTTTTTTAAATCGCATTCGTTTTTTTTACCATAAAAATACAGAATATAAACCTGCTCAATGGGACTAGATGATTCTTACGTTAACGGTTACTCAAATTAGTTTTCTGTATTCATAGACACATTTAATACATATATTAAATATAGATAATAAACAAATTATATAAATCAGATACACATTCTACAGCTGCTTGAAAATACTTTTCAACAAACGGCGTGTGTCTATGATATGACTACTGAGAAGGCACGAATTCAGTCAAATGTTACCCGTCAGTAGGTCAAAACCTTGATATTACTCGTCAAGACTAGGAATGACTTTCAAAATTTTGCCCATCTGCGCAGAGAGCACACAGAGAAAGTATTCAGCGAGAAAGAGATGGATGAATGCAGGGACTATACTACAGTGGGCGTCAGTTACGAAGAACCAGCGCAAATGCTTATTTTGGTACCGATTCGATCCTAGCGCCTCATTTACATAATTATCCACTCTGTCAGTAGCGCAGCGTTAGGCGTTTGGTGCCTTTAATTATATAAAAAGCATTATGACGCCACTGTCCACTTCTTCGGATAGAGTCGACACACACCAGATGCGCGAGGTTGAATTTTTCTATGCGGCGTTTACATTACCTGATTTTTAAACACAATTTAGTTTAATTTCCGGTAATTTTGCTGTGCATCAAGTGGGTGTGCCGATTCAGGATTTTCAAAATCATTCCTAGTTTTGAAAAATTGTACTACTATTATATTCTTTATATTCAGTTAATTATAATCTCTTCTGGTACGGAATATGAAGTAATTATTAATCGGCGGCAGTTACCTAAAAATAAAAATGTATTTTATTTAAGTTGTTCAAAATAGAATAAACTTTCAAATGTTGTATGTTTTGTAATAACTGAGTTTTAGGGGATGTAATTTACCAAAAATTGGTAATCGCAGGATCACTTTGGTGGTAGTTTTTGGGTTTTGTGGAGGTACTATATGTACCACTAATAGTTTCCAGACAGTTTAGTGGCAGATATCTATACCATTTCCAAGATATATTATTTTGATGGAAAAAAACAAGAAATGTATTATTATAATAATGTTTAAAGCCATATAAACAATGAAATATACCAAAACATAAATTAAACATTTTTTAACAACTAAATTATAAGGTACGAATCCAAAGTAAATCAAACGACGAAATCTAAACGATATTTAGAATAAACTTTTTTATAATTAGTCGAGAAACTTAATTTTCAACCACAATAACGTTACACAAAACAATCATAATCAAAGACACAATGCTACATGTGCAAAGAATGTGTGAATATTTTTGTATCTAGTACTACAATGGCAGCATCTTCTAGTTCCTTTTATAGCTATATATATTTTCCCACATCGTGTAACCTTTTTGCTGTAGTGGTAGGACACCCTTTTGTCATGAGGTTGTGAAATCGGCCTCGAAGTCGGATAAACCAAAGAATTGATCAACGCCATAAGGATGGGGAAGCATAAGTAGGACAAACACTCCCCACAGCGATACGCACTAGTCAATCAATTATGACAATGCTCAATTACCAATAGCTACTATTATTTTGTGTTTCCATTACAACTGAACGAACATCTTCACTGAGCCAACGAAGGGGAATTTGTTCATGGTCCTTCGAGCCGGATTTGAACCAGCGACCTAAGGACATTACAATTTTAGATTAAAATGCATACTTACTATTTTAAGTCAAACAAATTAGTGTCTGTCCTTCATAAATTTTGTCTTGAACTTTATCGCTACTGGTTGATTTCTCTGCAGACATGGATAAACACGAACATACAAAAGTAAGTAGTGTCGCTGTAATGGCTAACCAAAGTCCTATACCTAGACTGCAGTCGTTTGGGTAAAAGGCAGATGCATCTCTTCCACACAGCTTTTGAACTCTTTGACTACCCCATGCCATAGGGTGTAACATCACGCCTATTATATAGGAGATACCTAAAATATGTATTTTTAACTGAATAAACTGTCGGTTACTGGCCTATAACAGAATGACTCACAAGGAAGGTTTTGGTTAGAGTGCATTTATCGCTTTTATTTGGAACTGTTGATAATATTGAGTTAATAAGGAAGTTAATACAGTCATCATCTATATATTTCTTTGGACCATAACAGTTATAAATTGGGAGCGATCCAGGTGTGGAGTGTAGTTAGTAATTAACACGTCAGTGATCGTTGTGTGAAATTTTGTTTCAAGGATACTTATTTGAACTAACAATAAATTATTTTTTCATGTTACTAGAATCGATTGAGAATTATTTTTTCCTTGGTTGATCTAGAAAAACGGACAAGAGGCACTAAAATTAAACACTATATCTATTAATATTTCCAGGTTACTCTTGGAGAAGAAAGGATCCTATTGAATTTGGATCACAAGGTCAAATATCAACAAATTTACTAATAACTCCAGACAGAGACGGAATAGAGTCTTGAAAGAGCGTTTAACAGTTCCTTTAGGGTATTAAATTGGGGTTCAAAGCAGTTTGACTCTAAATGTAGTCGTGTAAATGTAGTTGGTTCGCTCTGAACTAGGTTTCGGGACCTTAAATATATTCCGCTTATCCGTTTATATCATTTTTCCTAATTCTGGACTTCTATCGATTAAGTTTCTTAAGTTATCTACACCTTAGACGATCTTTAGAGGTATTTCGATAATTTTATTTGAAATATATCTATACAGTTCCAATTAAAGATAACCCGGGTTAAAAATATCGATAGAAAATAGTAAATCAATAAATAAATATTTCGATATTAGTATAAGAATTAATAGGTATAAATCGTACCTGCAATAGCTTGGGCTACCCCAGATAAATTAAATATGCTCTTCTTGAAGATGCTTTGAAAACAGCAACTTAATAGACCCGTACATACCGTCAGTGTCATAATTGCTAAACCTAAAACAAAAACATAAAAAAATAATATTGCTGTTACTGTAAGTGACTTTTTGTATTTGTAATTAACGTAACTTTTCTACTTGGAGTCATTGACACGAATACAGTTTACAATATTTGCTACATTCAAGATAGTTTTACGATAGCCTCACTACGCCCATGATAGAAAATACTCGACTATTCAAGTATGCTCGTGTTCGGCGATCAAATTCCAGGTGTGGCGCTCAGCGACAGCGAGATTTTTCTATTAAAATCCGGAACATCGATATTGAAGAGAACAATATATCTAAGAGCGATTAAAATTTAAGATAAAATAAATTTGTACTGTTAAGTAAATAAATGATATAAATTAATTGTGTTTTTAGTGTTAGTATTGGAAGACTGTAAATAAATTGAAATAAACATTCAAATTTACTTCAAATCTATGCCCCGACTGCAGATAGAAAATATGACGATGAAGTCGAGAAATTGTATGATCAGATCCAAGACATATTACAGAAACTTAATAAACACGAAATTTTGTATATTATAGGCGACTTCAATGCAAAAATTGGGGAAGGTCCACTAGGTCAGACTGTAGGTCTTTATGGTCTACGAACACCTAACGATCGAGGACAGAGATATAATAATGGATCGAGACAAAGGATAAATATATCTCTTTTAAAAGCTTTAAACAGTCCCAACAGGAAACGATTTGTGGCTCCAACGTTGTTAGTGATGTTAGCCAGGTTGTAGCAGCAAACTAAGGTTTGCGGTTACAAGTTGACAACAGCAGCTCAACGTTGGGATGTTACAAATTGAGCCTCGAAGGGTTACAAATTGGCATCCAATGAATATTCGTTGGCATGTCATAGATTGACGTCCAATGTATGTTCGTTTGAACGTTACACTCTATCAAGTCGGTCCGGGAAACTGAGAATACGTTTCAGAATTCAGATTCAGAATAGAGTATTCGCTCCGTGCGTGACCATGGTAGGGGTACATTGAAACGATGCCAGCGTGCGTAGCGGCGAAATATGACAAAATTGGAATATTGGACAAAATATTTTTACGCATAAATTTTATCAAAAATGTGTGCAAATACATGTTGCGTACTTAATTGTGCTAATAATAGCAAAAACAGTGAGTGTAGTTTTTATAGGTTCCCAAAGATTACATATAAATTAGAGAAAAGAAAAAGATGAATTCGTGCTATTAATATGAAAAAGTAAATATCACATAATTTCATTTTTATGCAATTGAAATAGGAAAAATTTAAATACTTTACCTTGAATGATATTTCATAAGGCTTCAAGCTAACTGCAGATGACTTTAGCTTTTATACCATAACTTTTACTATTATTGTTTTTAATTATATGCTCTTTTGCGTGAAAAACTTGATTTCCTAGTACTGGATTTTTCCCTTTCTTTTACGTTTGGAGTTGAAAAGATATATTATGATGAATTTTGAGAAACCCAGTTTTTAATACTACATTTATTTTGTACATAAACTGAAAAAATATAATTAAAAAACTAATTTATTAATAATTGTCAATTTCGCATGTATTTAACAATGTCAAACATATGTCATATGTTTAACCTGAAAATTAGGACTCCAAAATTGTCAGAAGAAGGCGATAGGTGTCGCGTCAGTCACGCACGGAGCGAATATAACTTTTGTCAAACAACCAACATCCTGGATAACTAGAATTGAAAAAGACCTTAAAGGGATAAAGAGATAGATAAATAAAAGATAACGCTAGAGTAAATTAAGCAGAATCAATTTAGACCAAGTGTCAGAAGAACAAAAACATCGTTTTGCAGAATCCTTCCTTCCTTTAAGGGAGAATTATCCAATACTAACATTTTATAATTCCAAGCGACTACTAAAGAGTAAAAATCCGAAACTTACCTAAAGCTAAGAACACAGTCGCAGCCTTCCAAGGTACCGGGTAGATATGTGATTCAGTTGCTAGACCTCTCAAGGCCAAGAGTGTACAAACTGGATATTCGAAACCAATCGGCTTGCTACATTTGGCATATACTCCCACGCTAGGTCGATAAGTTACTGTTTCGTTTCCGAATTGAACTGTTTCAGGTGCGGCAAGAAGCCAGGATGGACTGAGGAAGGCACTTAACATCAGCAGCGTTGAAAAAAGACTCGTGAGCATCCATAGCAAACTGCGAGCCGTTACTATTACATATAACATGGCAGTTCACGTCTTGATGAGTCAGAAGTGTTGGAAAGGCATCTGAAACAAATAAAGATATTTCGTTAACCATTTTATAATCAAAACTTAATTAAGGCATATATGTCTATCCTTATTTTGCTCACAGTTATTCGAAATAGACAGCCAAGCGGCCGAGTTTTTTTCTAGATCGTTAAGATCTAGAACCATCACCAACAAAATAAAAACCAATTTTACAAACTGGACTAAGGCGCTGGATTTCAAAGATTGCCCTGGCGCTTAACGTGTTAACCAATATGTTTATAAACAGTAAAAAATCAATATCATCCTATCAACAGAATAAACGAAAAAAAGAAGATTAAATTGACACAAACGATTTAAACGAAAATGGCTTCTGTCAGTGGGAATTTGTCCCGAAACTTATCAAATGTAGGGGGGAAAAGTAAATCATCTTTAAAAAATATTTATGGAGACAGTGGTGAAAACATCGTAACAAAACTTAACAAAAACAAAGAGAAATATGCATTTAAAAAGAAACCAGTAGCTTGTGCTTACGCTGAAGGAAAGGTATGACAAAAACTATGGTAAAGACATGTGCATTTTTATCTCATATCGTTTATAATTTTTTAATTATAAATCTCGTATTGCTTGCCAATGAAATTTAGTTTTCTTTAAATATGTTTTATTTATTCCTAGTACCTATATTTCTATATATATTACTATTTTTGTTATTGTTACGTATGCCATAGAGCCGTATCACTCTATTCGCCTATCGCCTATTATACAACCGTACCCGTACAAAATTCAACTGATCCAGGAGCTGAGAATGGGTTTTGTAGCAGTTGAAAACTGAATTATTTTCATCGAAATATAATTTTTAGCGATAGGGCGCATTTTTAGATGAATGGATATATCAAAAACAGAATTGTCGAATTTGGGACGATACCAATTCAGATGAGATCCATATTTATTGACAATGACGTTGGCCAGGCATCACTGTCAACAACGAGTGCTATAGTTAGATGATTATCAACTTCTTTTGTTTCGAATTGGTTGATATGGATACCGACGACATGTGGTTTTACAGGCCGGTGCTATACAGCTTATGCTACATTTGACATTGTGTACGAGGGATTTGATTTGAGGTACATTGATTCAGCTATGTCGGGATGTAAATGTTGATCTACACTTGTGCTTCGTTGACTACGAAAAAGCTTTCGATAAAGTAAGACATGAAAAACTAATATCAATACTTATGAACAAGCGCATTGACAGTAAAATCATAAATATAGTGCAAACATTATATTGGAACCAAAGTGCCATAGTTCAAATTGATGGGCAACACTCAGAAGAAATGAGGATCTGTAGAGGAGTTAGACAGGGATGTGTGTTATCACCACTTTTGTTTAACTTATATTCTGAAGAAATTTTCCAAAACACGCTCAATAATATCAAAGCGGGAGTCACCGTTAACGGAAAATTAATTAATAATTTAAGATATGCAGACGACACTGTGATCATAGCAACGAGTATAGAGGATCTACAACATCTTATCGAAAGCTTGAGTATAAATAGTGCTGAGATGGGAATTACTATAAACGCTAAAAAAACGAAGTACATGCTGATTACAAAAAGGCCACAAAATATACATCACCTATTGACAATAAATGGTAACGTGATAGAACAAGTAGAAAAATATTAGTATTTGGGAACTTTGATCAATGAAACCAATGATCATACTGTAGAAATAAACAGACGAATAGAGATTGCCAGATCAGCATTTATACGAATGAAGCCACTCCTAACGTGCAAAAATCTAAATTTGGAGATCAGACTACGTACCATTCGCTGTTATAAATTGTCAATATTATTATATGGAGCTGAGACTTGGAAAAAATGTAATTTAAAAAGAATCGAGGCTTCGAACTCTGGTTATACCGCAGATTATTGAAAATATCATGGACTGATAGAATTACAAATAAAGAAGTACTGGAGAGGGTTGGTAAAGAAACAGAACTAATCACCACTATACAAACCAGAAAACTGGAATACCTAGGCCACGTGATGAGGGGACCAAAATATGAAATTTTGAGACTGATAATACAGGGAAAGATTCAAGGAAGAAGATCTGTTGGCCGAAGGCAGAACTCATGGTTAAAGAATCTACGTGATTGGTACCAATGCAGATCGATTGATTTGTTTAGAGCAGCAAGTTCTAAAATAAAAATAGCCATTATGATTGCCAACCTCCGTAGGGAGACGGCACTCTAAGAAGAAGAAGACGAGGGATATGAAATGGGCATCTCACGTGGAGGTGAGGTGAAATGGCCACCAAGATCGTGCGATTTGACCCCGTTAGATTTTTATTGAGGAATTTGCTGAAGTCGCAGGTCTATACGAAATGTTATGGCACATTGAACATTTCCCGCCACCCATCCTAACTGTGGCAGACATTTGTATGACGTTATATTCGCTGTTCAAACGAATAAAGAAATTTGATGATATCTCACCAACACTTTATTTAAATTTCAAGACAGGAAGCACAAAGTTTTGTATAAGTTACTTACCATATTATTTGGTTTATCTGGTACTTTCATCTCGTGTTCATGATTCAGAAGTGTCCATAAGAAGCAATTTTTATAAAAATGTCGAGGAAAAACATTTCTTATTTTTAAAAATTTCTATAGATCTCCTGTGATCATCGATATATAACGATGATCACGGGTGATTTTAACGCAAAAATCAGTGAATATAAATGAGGGTTTATAGTAGCACAATACTGACTTGGTGTTCGCAACTATCAATTACTGCAATTTATTATGTTTTAGAGTTACCCAAAATGTGAACTAAGTCAATCAGAAACCAGTGTATATTTCGAATTTAGAAAGCTACGCAAGGATCTTCCAGTTGACGAAAATTTAATATCAATAGTATTTAAAAACGATTCTTTGGAAAGTAACTTACTACTTTTATTAAAAGAATGTTTACGAGATGATTATCCAGTGCTGAAAGTCATTAAGTAAGTATTTACAGTTAAATAGAATAGCTTGCAATAAAAATGTGCAGATTTCGTAACTCAAACGTGTATTTTTTCACGTTTGAGAAAGAGAAAGAGAGAGAGAGAGAGAGAGAAGACATAATTAATTTATTTATTATATTTTGTATTTATCGGAAAAAATAGCGGCAATTAAAGAAGTAGAAAAGGGGACGAAGAAAAAATCTGAGATTGCCAGGGACTTTGAAATTCAGACAGTTCTGTGTTAAAATGGTTCAAACAATCTAGGCATAAGAACATTCCCGTGAGTGGTCCCCTTATAAGAAGCAAAGCTGAACAATTTGCTATTGAAATGGGAAAAAAACAATTTTAAGGCGAGTACAGGGTGGTTCGACAGCTTCAAAGAACGCAACAAAATTTCTTTCAAATCCATTTGTGGAGAAAGTCGAACCGTTAATCAGCATGAAGCCAACCAATGGAAAAAAAATTAGATGAAAGAGATATCTTTAATGTTGATGAGACGGGTCTCTTTTTTAAATGCACTCCTGATAAAACGCTGGTATTAAAAACGAAAAATGTCACGGAGGAAAACTAAGTAAAGAAAGAGTAACTCTCCTAATTGGTGCAAACATGGATGGATCGGAAAGACTGCCTCTACTGATGATTGGCAAGTCGGCTAATCCGCGTTGTTTTAAGAACGTCAAGTCAAAACCAGTGGAATATGTGGTCAGCGCAAGAGCTTGGGTGACTACTGATCTTTTCGAGAACTGGCTGAAAAAATTAGACAAAAAGTTCATAAAAGAAAAAAGAAAAGTTATTTTGTTTATTGACAACTGTACGGCACACATCAGAATCCCACTGATGGAAAATGTAAAAGTTATTTTTTTCCTGCTAACATGACTTCAGTTCTCCAGCATATGGACCAGGGTGTCATAAAGTTTTTTGGTTGATATTGACGGAAAATTGCGACACCCTTAAAATAAAGTTAGATATTCTACAAGCATCTCGAATGTGTAAGAAAGCTTGCGACCAAGTAACACCCGAAACGATCAAACACTGTTTCAAAAGAGCTGGTTTCATAAAAAAGGAGGAGAATGCAGACGACACTTTAACAGAAGAGCTGCTTTCAATTGACTACTGGGGGACATCATTTCTGATCATGCCATCTCATATGAAGATTTTGTCAACGTGGATGAAGATGTTGCAGTATGTGGTGAAATAACCAATGCAGAGATCATCGCTGAAGTGCTTAAGGACAATGATGAAAAAGAAAAGAGTGATGAAGACGACGAGTCATCAGTTGCGGGAGAAATACATGTTCCGAGTGCGGCCGAAGCAACAAACCATAATACGCAACTTAAACGGTACTTTTAAAGTAAAAATGATGTAAGTCACTCTATTTTTAGTTCACTGAACATCTTAGAATCTTTTGTCATTACCGAGAAGTAAAATTCTAAAAGGCAGCTAAAAATTTCGGATTTCTTTGGAAGAAATTAGTCTATTTTCATTAATTATTGTAACAAATATGTATTCTTATTTTCAATAAATTTTTTGAGACAAAATGTTTTATTGTTTTAATGATGCGTTCTCATTGGGCATTTTTTATCGGCCAAGTTTTGGCCAAATACCAATGAGAAAACGTGCAAATGATAAAAATCGACAATAATTGACCATTTTTTATAGCTTGCAAATGTTTTAATTGGTATTATGGCCGAATTTTGTTGGCCCATTTTTTTCGGTTGACAAAATTCGGGCAAAAATAGGAACGAAAACCTCTGCAAGCCATAAAAATGGTCAACTATTGTCGATTTTTATCATTTGTAGATATTTTTGTAGGCATCTTTGTTTTTTGTGGATATATTTTTAATGTGAATTTTTGGATAATTCGAATTTTTTTAAACGGTCCATTGAGATTCGAATTATCCAAAGTTTCACTGTAATATAAAGGTGTGCACGATTTTTTGTTCACAACCATAATTATTAGTTCTTCAAAAACTTTATTTTAAATGATAAAACATTTAAATGCACGTTATTCGTGAGCTAAAAAAGTTCTATGAACAAAATTTATTTATAAGCTATGATACATACGTACTAAGATTACCTGTTAATCCTAAACAATCCAAAACTAAGCACTGTCAATAGGGTTCACGACGTTTATAAAGAAATGCTTCTAAATAGCCCACACCTAGTCACTTATCATACTGAACTGAAATGAGTATTACAGATTCTCGACACGTAACGGAAATGCTTAGTTACTTGTGGTTCTCATAGACTCGTCGATTTTAGCAACAAGTTCCTTTTTATTACTCTACTGTAAATACTGCAAATGCGTCAACATAAACATATTTGCAAATCGTTTAACAATGACTTATAATGAGTCGCTTAACAAATAAGCGAGTATAGGTCGTTGCACAATTAAGATATGGAATATTTATCGCGAGTCCATGTAGGGCAGTCAGGTCACAAGTAGAGAATGTTAAAAATACTTTATTTGAAGATTTGACTTTCACTTCGAAAATAGTTTTCCACGTACAATTTTTTTTGTTTTTGTTTCTTACCAAAAAAATTCACTAATGTTACTTTAATTTCTCTGTATGACATACTTAAACCATTATATAATTATTTTATTATGACGGGAGAGATTTATTTTCAATCCAGAGCTTCTGCATAAGTCGCTCTGAGGAACTTAAGGTCGAAATACGTATACGCGGATGACAGGAGCCCTGCACTGTAATTAAATCTCAAACGTCTTTCTGCTTTATTTATTTACTCAAGTTCGTGAGTACTAGAAACTAATTCGCAAAGGATTTTTGCCAAGATGACGATTTGGACGAATGCCGATCCAACGGACTCGAAAATTTCCTTTAAATAGAAAAAATTCCATAACTGGCGAGATGTAGCTTTGACCATGATACTATGACTAACAAGATAGGATCTTCCCGTAGCACAAAATAGGTCGTGTTCGCGCATGCCGTCATTGGAGAGTAGAATTTGAATTCTTGTTAAAGTTAAATGGGATTTGTATGCATTCTGTGATGAACTTACTAGACGAAAATAAGTTAAGAGGTTTAATAATTACAATAATCGTACACATAAGGATATCTCCAAACTATTTATTAAAGATTATTTATTGATACATACAAAAAACTGACATTTCGAACGTCAAACTCTCCAATGACGTCACGACTTATGCGCAATATCTTGTCTTCTTAGTCTTAGTATCATGGCTTTGACTAATTCTACATTAAACCATTTACAATTTTCTTGGTTATTCTGAAATCTTACATATAAAAGTTTATTTTATTATAATCAATATTTTTTCTAATAGAAATGTTTTAAATATATTTTGTAGATTTGAATTTTGCAATTTGCAAGCGAAACACATAGAACAAATTGCAGAGCTACTGACATTATTATATACTATAAGGGAAGTAAGTGTCGACGGAAATCCGATTCCAGAACAAAATTTTTATTTATTATTGAAGCAGGAACTGGCCTCCTTATCTCTGAAACATTGCAGTATAAATATCGACGGTATGTATTATAGAAAAATGCATTTAAAAATGAATATAATGAGTATAGTTAAGATATGAAGTTCGTCTCACAGCCTTGTTTTATAACCCGATTTGGCAATGTTATAAAGAGTTTGTTTAAATAAATTCTGACAATTTTTTGCATGGATGATATTTTGATCCGCATTCTGGAATCTCTCACACCTCCTAAATATAAAAAACAAGCTCAGGGTCTCGCCTATATATTTTATGGTCTTGAGTTTTAACCTTGTTTAGGTCTGAGCCTCTTCAAGGAATGGGTAACTCCTTTTTTTTAAGGAGTAGTGGGGGTGTGATAAACGCCAATTATACGATGCCCGAGGTTAAGAAGTAGTGGACTACTAAGGAGCGGGGGAAGCAGAAAGTGACTTGTGTGTGTGTGATCGATAGGAACGCACAAGAAGAAGTGGGAATTGTCTAGCATGCCAGTTGAGGTACTTCAGGGGTTACCAGCCATACAGTAGGAACGGGTCTTTATCAGCGTTTTTGGCGCGCAGTCTTTATCTGCGATATTGTATGGGAATGATTCTAGAATTTTAAAATACTCATCAGGAAGTTCATGTCCAGTGTTGTTAAGAAGTTTTGCTGGAGGAAACGGAACTTTCTTACTGGGAAACCTGGTGAGTATTTGCCCTCTGTGATTGCAAGGAGTCTTTAGGACATACTTCCTGCTGAGGGATAGGATTCTGTCCTTGATTGGTGTGATGTTGGCCAATATGTATATGTGGGCTGATGGATACGACCAGTCTTTCCTCATGCAGTATCTAAGTATTCTGCGTTCAGTAGCTGCAATGGCATTAAGTTGGTGACTCTTGAGAGAGATGTGGACGCATGCCTTGCATTCGATTATCGGTCTGACAAAAGTCTTGTAGGTGTGCAACAAAGTTTTGGAAGACGTTCCGCCAATTTTACCGGTTAGCACTTTCAGGAGATTAAACCTCTGTCCCATCCTATCTAAGGATACCTGAACGTCGGCCTTCCAGTTGAGAGTCCTTGTAGAACGAACTCCAAGTAGAGAACCGAGTTTTGAGAATGAGGTCTTCTCCTAAAATGATATCGGCCTGGACGTCACGACAATAAGAGAATTTAAAAAGAATTGCTTGTGTTTTGGAGGGATTTATGGTCACTCTCATTTGTTGCACCACTTCACAACTCTGCCAAGGTATTCTTGCGATCTTTCGAATACAGACCGTCGCTCACACTCTCTGTGAGAGCCTGAAGTGAGGATGGCCGTATCATCAGCGAAGAGTAGGAGGGACTCTGATCCTTGCTGTGGGCGGGGAATGTCACTGTTGTATACTGTGTATAGTATTGGAGCAAATATTGAGCTTGGGCACTCCAGCTTGTGGAGTGAAGGGGGTGGATAGGTGGTCAGCTACTTTGATCCTGATCGTCCGATGAGAGAGATAGAAATTGATTAATTTAACGAAAGGTGTTGGCAGTCCAGCGAGGTGGAGTTTTTCAATCAGGCCTGTGTGCCAGACCTGATCGAATGTCTTCTGGACGTTGAGGAATATGCCCATGAACAAACCCGTCCTATAACTATTATATCTATAGTTGTAAAGTTTCTATAGTACAAAAAGTTTTATATAGTTTTTTTTATAGAGTATCCAAATTGTAGGCACTAAATTCCAAGAAATAGTGTTGACCATCTTGGAAGACCAAGTTATTCTTGGTCTTCCAGTGACGTACACATTTTTTTTGTGTAAGTAGCGCTACTTGTATTTTTCTACAAAATACAAAACATTAATGTGTTGTATGCATGTCGTATGAAGAACGATTTCCGAAATGGAAATAAACTTATTTTAAAGTAAAATTGTGGTGTATTCCCAACCAAACTGGTAAATTGCACTAAGATGCCACAAGAAAATAGCTTCAGGACAATACGATAGGTAGTTAATGTTTTGATCTTTTGCAGATGTCGATCTTCTTCTTCAGTAGCTTTTTCTTTTTCAAGGGTCGCTGTTTCTTACTCTTCGTCGCCATATTTCGAACTACTTTATCAACATTGCCTCATATAATTATAGATTTAGTTTTACTTTCATACATTGTCAAATTAAAATACTTCCATCTTCCATAACTCCTACATACGTTGCTAATTTTTAATAGTTAAATAAACTTCACATAATTATATCTAATAGATACCTAAACATAAATTTAGTAAAAGAAGTTTTTTTAGTACATATAAATTTTTAAAATTCACTTAAGAATGTAAACGATGCGCTACTGAGTGTAAGGTGACCTCCTAGACTGAGTGAAAATATATTCTCTCTCTCTCTCTCTCTCTCTCTCTCTCTCTCTCGCTCTCTCTAACTTGCGACTTCGATTATCTACTGTTCTTTTCTACTGATTAGCAGTGTCATATTTCATTAGATACTTTAACAAGTCTACTTCTTCTTCTTCGCGTGCCATATCAAATTATTGACGTTGGCGATCACCATTGTGAAGGCTTCTCGATCTTCTGCAATATGGAATAATTGTCCCGCATTTGATACCCGTTTCCTTCCTGCACCTCTACGGCCCCCTATTTTGTCTATTTAGTATATTTTTGGCCTCTATTTTGTATATTGTGCCTTTAAGGATCAGTTGTAATATTTTATATCGACTTCTCCTTACTATATATCCCAGATACGACATTTTTCGATGTTTAACAGTCTTTAGCAGTTCTCTATCTTTGTTGACGCTCCTTAGTACGTCTTCATTAGTTTTCCTTGCTGTCCAAGGTATCTTAGGAATTGGTCTATGAACCCACATTTCCAATACTTCTATTTTGTTCATGATCGATACTTTTAGCGTCCACACTTCTGCACTATACAAAAGTATGGACCAAACATAACACTTAACCATTCTTTGTCTTAGTTCTAAACTGAGATGATTATTGCAAATAAATTACTTCATTTTCATAAAAGTAGTTTTAGTCATTGCTATTCTACGTTTTATTTCTATGTCTGGATCTAGTTGGTCCGTTATCACAGTTCCCAAATATGTCATTTTGTGAACTTTCTCAACTTGGACTCCGTTTAATTGAAGCTTTGCATCGGGATGTAGGTCTCGACTAAACACTAATTTGGTTTTGTTTGAGTTTATTTTTATGTCAGTTTTCTCTTCTACCTCGTGAATACGATCAAGCAGAATTTGGAGACGTTCAATATTATCTGACAGAATTACTGTATCGTCTGCATATCTAATCACATTAAGTAGTTCCCCGTTGATTTTTATTCCATATGGTTGTCTTTTTTAAATAACTGGTTTAAGTTAACGAGTAAACATTGAACAATGTTGGCGATAAAATGCAACCTTGTCTGACTCTTCATTGTATGGAGATTTCATCGGTGTAGTTATCTCCAATTTTTACTATAGCAGTTTGATTCCAGTACAAATTTTAAATGACACGAATATCCTTGTCATCTATTCCGACATTTTTTAGTATTTGCATTAATTTTACATGCTGTACTTTATCTAATGCCTTTTAGAAGTCCACGAAACATGCAAATACATCTTTTCTTTGGTCACGGCATTTTTGTAATAGGATGTTAAGCGCAAAAAGTGCCTCCCTGGTTCCCATAGCATTTCTAAAACCAAATTGGGTATCTTCAAGATCTTCTTCGCACTTGCGTCTATTTCTGTTGTGAAATATTCTTAGGAAAATTTTAAGAGGCATTAGGCTAATTAATCGATATTCTGAGCATTTTCTCGCATTGTGTTTTTTAGGTATTGCGACAGAGATAGATTTGAGCCAATCTATGGAAATTACTCTACTCCTACACTTACTACTCTTATGTTATCATCATCTATTAGTTTCAGCAACTATCTGTTTAGATATTACATCCTCCATTTCGTCGCACCTTTCTCTCATCCATTTTTCTTTGGCTAATCTCCTTTGATCTCCTTTTTTATTCTTCTCTGCAGGTGTCTATATTCTGTTTCATTGGATTTTATCAGTCGACGTTGTTTCAATAATTTCAAGATGTCTGTCATCCATTTATTTTTCTTCATTAAGTTTTTTCTATAATCATTACTAATTACTATTAAAAAGGTTTACTTTCTGAACATGTTTTTAGGAATGAAACAGATTTCAGAGGAATTATACAAACCAGTTACAAATCCCCTACTGCATTTAAACTTGGCCACCAACGCCCTCTATGATGAAAGTTTATGTTACGTGGCAAAAATACTAAGGATGAATAGAAAGTTAATATCTCTTAATTTGGCAGACAATAAAATCACTGAAAATGGTATTCGAATATTACTGGAACCATTACAGAAATTTGAACTTAATGAAGATGAGTTAATACAAAGAAGAAAAATTAGATTTGATTATCACAAAAAAATGGTACATTTTTCCTTACATATTTAAGTATTATTTTTAAAATGATCAACAATCCTTGCAGGCCTAGAGCAAAAAGTTTCGTTTACATATGTTTCAAATTCCTTGTATACTTTAAAGAGGTTTACAATACCGTTTTATGATTTCTCTCCTTCTGTTCCTTCGTTTACAACAGCAAAAACATTGGGTATCAGAGTTTAAACGCGGCAGTACTAGCTGCTAAGTCAAGAATCGCAGTGTTCGACAAAATGAGGGGACGACTTAAGAAATGGTGATAAAAATCTACAAAGTGGTACTGGATAATCGCCAACTGAAAGTATGCGAGTTAGCAGACTTAGTAGGAATTTCAAACATCGCATTTTAACTAAACATTTGTCCATGAGAAAGCTATGTGCAAGATGGTTGCTAGTCAAAAGGTTTTTTTAAGTGAAAATAGTGATCTATCAAAAGTGGAAGTCATGTTCATGTATGAGCAAATCCTGCGCTGCTTAGGAGTTGGAATGATTCGGGTTTTACCATTGGGTAAAATCATTAACCGCCGTTTATCTTCTTCAATTGGAACATTGGATCTTCCTAAATTGGGAAACAAAGGGAAGCAAAAACATATATTTCTTCTTCTTCTAGCATGTTGAATACATTAAGGAAGTTAATATTTTTAAATTTAAAATCACCTGTTACGAGGACACAACCCAAAAGAAGTTGTATGTTTAATATGCTACACGCTAGACCAATGTGAGCATCACTTCTTGTCTAACGTGGACCTACGGAACCTGACGTGACGTGGGAACAGGCCTTATTTATCTTTTTCTCTTACAGGTCAATTAATATTTGCTTATCTCTTAACTGTTTTAGATCGACGTCTACTGTGCCAGCAAATCGGACGACACTCTATCAATTACTTGTTCAGCAAGAAAAATAAGATCACGACGTAGAAATAAATGTAAGTCCAGATAATGAAAAACATAATATATCTTCTTCTTGAAGTTTCGTTAATATCGGAGATTGCAAATCATTCTGGCAATTATAATTTTGTTGGTTACACGCCTGAATAGTTCAATTGATTGATCTGTATCAAAACCATTCACGGAGATTACATAGCCACGAGATTTTAAGTCTTCCTATGCTTCTTCTGCGTTTGATTTTGTCCTGCAAACGTCTAAATTATACCATAACTTAAGAATTTTCGTTCGTCAATGTTATTATTATTTAAATTATCTTTTAAAACTGTATATAATATACAAATTATATCAATTAGTTTTCGAAAGGCGTCTTCATCACAAACTAGCACATCGACCTTCATTACCGTCGTATGAACAAGAAAAGGACTTCCCAAAGCCACCATGAGTGTTCCCGAGTTGCCGTACCATCCAGCCTTACAAGACAGTGTAGAAGAATCGACGAGTGTATTTTGCTATGGAAACAACATTTTAACTAATCTAAATCTATCATGTAAGTAGATCAGATAATAGAATTTTATTTTTGACACAAACAGGTATAAACATTTGACAATCTCACGAACTATTGGATTATCTAGCTTTAAATAATCCAAAAGGTAATCTATGAAATTTGTAAGACCCAAAAGGTGTACTGAAGGTACAAAGGATGACTAATCATCGAGCTTGATTTGCCAAAATTATTATTTAATGTCTAGCGAAGTAGAGTAAGGTCTCTTTTTATGCGGATTATTCTTATGCGATTTTAGAGTTGTGCGGTTTGTATCTCATCCAAAAATTTCTATGATTAACTATTAACTATTCAAATCCAAATGTGATACTTTACAGCAACCTATATCATTAATTGCTACCACCAAAAAGAATAAGTACATAATTATAGAAGTTTACACATAAGAAGGGTCTATTGCGGTTTATTTTAGATAACAGAATAAGAAAAGCAGCTCTACCATTAATCCTTCAGATGATCAGTTATCAGACAGAACTATACAGTTGCAAACCTGAGTACGTAGGTATTGCACGTCTGTCTCTTCAAGGGAACCGTTTGAGCGAAACAGATATCATTGAAGTACAAACTGCTTTGTCGAGAAAGCTACAACTTTCAACTGGAAGTATAGAAATCGTAACGGTAAGTCCTAACTGATGTATTAGTTGAAGTTTATTTTCTGTTTCTTTCACTTTTCTTTTGCTGACCTACAAAATGTATATAAGGTATTTAGGTGAGTATTTATAATTATATGTATACTGCTGAATTCTGCTGATTTCGTTTTTGAGGTAATTGATAATTAGTATGTTCATATGTTAATATGTAATATATCCTTCCGGGTACCCGGCTAGCGTTCGTGTGCTTCGTTTCGAGAGTCAACTTACCTCCAGCACAGTATATTATATTGCTATATACTGTGCCTCCAGCCTGATTCGATTCGAGGACACTACCAGGCGGGGAGTTTGACTATGGCGGTACATCTGTCAAAGAATAACACAGGTGTCCTAAGGCCAGCTCAGCAAGGACAGAAACCTCGCGTAGCGCAAAAGGGCAAATGCTGAATTGATCCTGATGTTAAGTATGCATAAAGCACGGCCTATCGATCCATTTGGCTTGAAGAGTTTTCAGCAAGGGGTGTCAGAAAAGTTATTACAAGGATAAGTGGCTTGTGGCGGCCAAGCGTTCATAGCGACGTCGATTTTTGATCCTTCGATGTCGGCTCTTCCTATCATTGCGAAACAGAATTCGCCAAGAGTTGGATTGTTCACCCATAGACAAGAACGTGAGCTGGGTTTAGACCGTGCTGAGACAGATTAGTTTTATCCTACTGATGACTCGTCGTTGCGATAGTAATCCTGCTCAGTACGAGAGCAACCGCAGGTTCGGACATTGCTTGACGCACTTACTCGAGCGGGTAATGGTACGAAGCTACCATCCGTGGGATTATGCCTGAACGCCTCTAAGGCCGTATCCTTTCTAGGGTGTGGCAACAATATCTCTTGGAGTTCCGAAAGCCGAAGGGCTCAAAACAATGTGACTTTACTAGGAAATCGTAGTTCGCTACGATTGTCACACGAGCCCTTATTTCCGAGAGATTACAGTGGGATCGTTCCTTGCCAGTAGACCAGATCTTTAGACGGACAAACATGGGCATTATAATCTTTTCGATGTTGGAACTCGGAATTGTCTGTAGACGACTTAAGTACCTGGCAGGGTGTTGTACATGGTAGAGAAGTTTTCACGCTACGATCTATTGAGATTGATACAATCTCTCAACTTGGGGATTCATCTTGTCGGTTAGACGAGATATTAAAAATTAAAGGAATAATATATATATATATATATATATAAATATATATATATATATATATATATATATATATATATATATATATATATATATATGTTATCAAAGATCATAAACAGCTATAATTATGTTTCTTGTTATGTAATTATCTCTCTCACTTATACTTCTTGTCATTATGTGATATGTTAACTATATTTTTTTTCAGACACGTACCAATAGTAAAAGGCACTCATCGGCACTTTTTTAAAATGCATCACATAAACATAGGATTTTAGACTTTGTGGATATTTTAACGAATAAAGGTTTAAAAAAGAGCAATGTAGTTATCTTTTATTCCATGTAGGTTTTAATATAAGTATCTAAAAGTTAGTTATTAATATTGAACTTGGTTCCAGAACATACAAAACTAAAATGAATAGCCTAATTAGCTTCTCCCCGAATTTTAAGTGGAAAAATCTAAAAAACAAATTGCAACTTTTTTGTTTTCGGACCACAATATTTTTTTCTCATCTGGGGAAAATCAGGCACTATCATCAATTTTACAAGAATAAATTTCGTAAATTAATGCAATCTTTCCCTAGATTTTGTGGAAAGATAAAGATTCTGGTAATTTTATGAGCGTTTTGTGGCGGAGGTAGAACAGCTCGTCGGATCTTGACGTATGAGAGAAAAGAGGGTAGCTCAAGAAGTATTTAACGAAGCGTAGCATCCGAACGTCTTAACGTAGAGATATGCGCGATAGGTCAAGTGATAGGATTTAACGAATAGAATTGAATGCGAATCGAGCGGTTTGTCGTTACATTGCTTTTCATTGCATTTCATTGCGATTCTTTTATTTTTTTGACACCTCGTCGATATCCAATACATCGATCTATTGAAAGGAATTTTATCAAGATCTTGTCAAGGCCCGAAACGATCCTTATGGGGTGTTTGGGGAAGGTATGTATTATTTATTTTCATATTTTACTATATTTTTTTACTTTTTTTACTGTGCTATAATATGATCTAATTTAATGGTATATTCTAACTCATTTGCTTTAAAATATATTGTTTCTTGTTATTCAGTAAAATCTCATTGTTAAACTGGCTTAAACACATTTAGCCTGTTCGGAGAATTTGACTTTCTCTATTGTTATTTTTGTGTCGCAAACACAGAAACTGTTGTACTGTATTATATTTCTGTGACCATTTAGTTAGAATTATTGCCATTCAAAAGACCACCTAAGAAGAGGCAGAGGATTTTTGACCAATTCAAAACACACACCTCCTAACGAGACTAAAACATCCAGTTTATCGGTTAAGTCCCCTTTTGAGCCTCGGCGCCGGGCGTCCCTTAACGGCGTTACGCGCAGTGACCAACTCTACTGCCTTCTACAATTAACACACCAGTATTTCAAAAGGTAAGTATATGTTCTCTGTACAGATAACAGTAATGAGTTAAAGCCAATTAATTATCGTAATTAATTCACAATTATCATTTGCTATTTCCGCTACTTTTATTTGCAGTTAAATTATTGCACTTTTTTCCATTATTATTCTAATTTCATTTAACCAACGGCCTCTAAGTTTTACACAAAACATGGGGTATTCAAAAAATATATTATTAAGGTTCTCTATTAGGCCACATTCAAAGTAAGGGTTTTAACTTTTGTATTTGATTTTTTTTGATATTTTATCAAATTGTGCCGAAAATAAAAAAACATTTTTTCACCCCCTTTTAACCCCCCCTAAATTTCCCCGAAAGTTTACAGCTGTTTAATTTATTTTTATTTTGTATATTATACCCCACCTACCACTTTCCATAATAAAAATTTAGGTAACATTTTTTTAATTAAAATTGAGCAAATTTTCCTGGTCTATAAGAAATAAGATAATATATTTTATCATATTTAAATAAAGGTTTCTTTAAATAAAGTTTTAATTTTTTTTTTATATATAAAACTCCAATTTTTCGTAAAACAAAACTACTTTATATTATTGTATCTATTATAAGAAACCAAATATGTAACACAAAACGTTCACAACTGTATGATTGGATATACTTGATGATAACCTGTTGAACTTTGAATTAGTCAAACATTTAACAAGGTGAGTATTGTATTATGTATATTGCTTTTTCTTTTTTAGTATATATTCTACAAGATTTATTTAAAGATTTATACAAAGAGTGCATAATAGCACAGAATACTTCATCCCATCCATTGGTTGGGATGGAGTATTCTGTGATACTAGCCATGATACTATGAATAACAAGATAGGATCTTCCCGTAGCTCAAAATCGGTCGGGTTCGCGCATGCCGTCATTGGAGACTAGAATTTGAATTCTTGTTAAAGTTAAAGAAGATTTGTATGCATTCTGTGATGAAATTACTAGACGAAAATAAGTTAAGAGGTTTAATAATTACAATAATCGTACACATAAGGATATCTCCAAACTATTTATTAAAGATTATTTATTGATATATACAAAAACTGACATTTCGAACGTGCAAGTCTCCAATGACGTCACAAAAACATGCGCAATATCTTATCTTATAGTCATAGTATCATGATACTAGCTATATTTATTTGAATAACAGGCAAAGGTACAGGTAGGGGAAAGGAGGGAATGGTGGCGGCTGGGATAATGTTAATCATGAAATATTTGCATTTACGGCCAAATATTATTTCGCGTTTAATATCTGTTGCGCCATCTAACAGTGTTTCGTTCAAACTGTACCTAAAACAATCACGATGTTTTGCCGGCAAAGAAGGATTTTTTGAAAATGTCATATTTTGTTGGAGTTGACGTATTAGTGCAAGATTTTAAAGGTATTTAAAAGTATGTAATTAAGTTTATTTAGCTGCATAATCGGTACTCATTTGTCAAATTAAATTTTTATTCCGAAATGGAAATTGAAACGTCAATAAACTTACTTTAACCTTTAATTGTAGCTTATTCCCATTTAAATTTTAAAAACATCTCAGTTCATGATACTATAACAACAAGATATGATCACTTGCTGTTCTAATTTTAATTGACTTTGCGCATGTCGTCATAGCGAGACAAAGCCAGGGGACTTGTATGTATCATATTTTAACGATGCATCATATGGCAACGTTGTTCCATTACTGTAATGAACAACTTCAAAACTTAAACTGTTAACGGTAAGTATACCTCGATGCCATATCTTGCACTAAGAAGTCATAACTAGTTACTTTCTGTTGAAACGTGTTTTGAAAATTAATAAGTAATTTGTAAAATTAATTAAGAAATATATAAATCTACGATTTGATTGTGTGTATTACAAACAAAATAAATATTGCTACAAAACATAAATTAAATATAAAAGGCCGGCAAAATGTAAAGAATTTGACCATAAAGGAAAAGCGGGTCAAACTTGAGACTTTATGAATATCATTTAGACATTTATTTTACAATCTTTGTGATTTTTCTTTTGTGGTATTGTAATTATCTTTAATATTTTGATTTAGAATTCGTATTTTAAAATACATTTTACATCTAAAAAAAAGTAATTTTACATCTTCGCTAACATTTACATATTTTGCAGCTTCTATTAAGTTTTTTAAATAATTTTTTGTTATTTTTGATGTGTCGCCATTATAACTACGAAAAATATGTGCCAGTTCACTACATACATCCAAAGTAATTTTTTTAAAGACCTATCAAAAATAAAGTACTACTTCAAGTTCTATTAAAATGGGCATTATTATATATTATTATCTATAGAAATATTTATTATTATCCATAGAAAAATTTGCTCTGCTGTTATTAATATTGATATATTAATTCTCTGCTGTTATTAATATTAATTCTTTTTATTTATATAACTAGAATTGCATCAAATGAAAATTTTAATTTAATTTTAAAGTTTAACTTGCTGTCATTAATTTTGTCAATTTGACATTTTGACAAGTTGTCTCGGGCTTACGTCACAAGAACATGCGCGTTGACTTATCTTGTTTTATTATAGTATCATGCATGATACTATAAACATAGTATAAAAAACTTTGTGGTTAAACTGTGCTATGAATAACAAGATAGGATCTTCCCGTAGCTCAAAATCGGTCGGGTTCGCGCATGCCGTCATTGGAGACTAGAATTTGAATTCTTGTTAAAGTTAAATGAGATTTGTATGCATTTTGTGATAAAATTACTAGACGAAAATAAGTTAAGAGGTTTAATAATTACAATAATCGTACACATAAGGATATCTCCAAACTATTTATTAAAGATTATTTATTGATATATACAAAAACTGACATTTCGAACGTGCAAGTCTCCAATGACGTCACAAAAACATGCGCAATATCGTATCTTATAGTCATAGTATCATGGTATCATGATTTCAGTTAACATCATGATATAAGGAAACATGGTATGCTCACGCGCATCTATTTTGAACAGCCAATCACGTTTACGACCAAAATCCGCCATTTTGAAGGCGGCAATTCAAATATGTACAAAATTGATACGAAATATCGTAGTTAAATTAAATAAAATAAAATTAATATTATACATTAATCCAATTAATTCATATTTTAAATGATCTGAACAGACTCTTGCTAAAATAATTTTTAAAAAATCGAAACAAAACAAAAACACATTTACATTTAAATTCCAGTACATTGCAAAGTAAGGTTAAAAAATGCAAAAGTAAACAAAGCAGACGTCACGCATGTAGAGGTGGTTGATCCAAGTATTTTTGTGGATCAGGTCAGGTATGCTCACTTACACTTACTATGAGTACAGTACCCGTACCATGGACGTATAAATAAAGATCTTTATTTATACGGCCATGATCCGTACTCGTTTTTTATAATTATATTGGTGTTAGGGATCAGTTCCACAAGTATAAATAAAATACATGTTCCAAAGTAACTGGTACGGGATCAGGTCACCATCCCTACACACATGTGACATATTGAAAAGATGGTGGATTTTGGTCGGCGCAGAAATGTGCAAAAACGAGTCCACTAGTGAGCATACCTTGTTTCCTTATATCATGGTTAACATCCACTTCAGTTTGACATAGCGTCAAAACTCAAATACGTTTAGAAATTTATAGGATAGTAAGTTTCTATCTTAGTAGGGAATTTTACATTGACGTGTAAAATTCCCTACTCTAAGGTTTCTTTTATATATAAAAAAATATATTTTATAAAAAAGTTAGGCTAATTTAGTTTATACCGTTGAATTGCGCCAAATGTAGGCAACCAACTTAAATTTATAACATTTAGGTTGAGTTTCTTGAGAATATTTTGAATAAACGTTTAATATTTTCCAGTTAATTTATTATTTTTTTAAAAGTGATGCCATAGAATAATAAATTCTGTGGTGATGCTAATAATGCTGAATAAATAATATTTCAAATGATATATAATCACAAAACGTACTAAATATGGTGTTATATAATCCACATAATAAAGTATGTTGGATAAAAAAGGTAAAATCCCGGGTGGTTCAAAACTAGTTTCTGATAGGAGTAATACGAAATACTCTAATAAAATACGCTATGAGCACGTGTGCTTGGTTGTATAGTAATTTTCAGCACCTTCTAGTCTGCCAAAAAGTAACTAACTTCATAAAAAAATAATTACAATTGTGCAATTACTAAAAAGACAGTTCGGACACCGTTCGGACTGGAATTAGCGAACCGACATTAACAAGTCAAAATGAATAATACCTAATAATTAAAGATATGCTCTGCTTCAATATTACAAAGAAAGATAGGGTAGAAAAAATTTTATGGTTTATAAATATATGCGTAAATCATGAGTTTATGTTGCACAGTTGTGTCAAAGAATATAGACGCTTAATAGAAGCTAATAGCTATTATAATATAGTTAGCTAATAAGACTAAGCGTCTATATTATTTGGTTGTGTATTCAGTTATTCATGTTAATGTTAAAAGGTAAAAGGACAAAAGCAAATCACAATCTTTCCTGATTTAAATCTTAATATGAATTCACTTTAAAAAACACTTATTTAAGTTAACCATTGTTTAACACAATCGCTCTTAATTAATTTATTACAACAATTATCAGCTTTATTTAAAATAATATACCTACTGTGAATGCTCCATCCATTTGCATTGGATACCGATAACGTAAATAAAAGATAATTTGCTTTTGATTATAAAAAGACATGACACCAATATAAATACTTATTAACAGATTATCAATACTAAAGCAAAAGATAATTTGATTTTAATAATGGAAATGTTCAATTTTAAAAAGACGTGGACAATAATGTAAATACTTATTAACAGATTATCAATACTTAAGTTCACTAGAACAGTTCTTTAATAAAATTATTGTTTGTAATACATAGCATAAGCTTATCAAAGAGTTTAAAAATTATAATATAAACAACTTTGTTTTTATACAAGAAGCCAACCTGTTGAAACTATTTTACAACAATTTTATTTTACCTGAATTACAAAAAAGTGCAACTTACCTGTAAGTATTTTTTTTTCTTTACTGAAAGTTCGTTAAGCACAAAAAATATGAAACCAACAGGGCACTTTATAACCACACCCCTTGACACCTCATCAGCTGATGGCCATTGCCATGATGAGGATGAGACCCATCAGAGAGCCACAGGAGTGCCTTTAAGTTCAATGACTTGAAGTTAGATACAAAAATATAGGAATAATTTAAAGCAGTTAACTCCTGTTATTAGAATATCCGGTTTATTTAAATTAATTACTTGACCTTCAGTGTTATGTGTTTATCTTATATTCTTTTTTTATCCTATGTGTAATCCAATAATTATAATCTAAATATTTTTATTGGTTATTAAGCACGAAAGGCTAACTTCAGTTCGTAAGTGGTGGTAATTTTTTATCTAACGAGGGAGGTATTTTCGACAGGATCGGATTGCAATTATTTCTACTAAGTTACCCACTGATTTGCAACTGAATTTAACAAAAATGTTTAATAATTATTTTCGTTTATTTGTTATGTTTTCTTTAACTCTTATTTTAGGTGTAACTACGAAGGAGATGAACTTGCACAAAATATTTGTATATGGAACTTTAAAAAGAAATGAACCGAATCATTCTTGGTTTGCCAAAAATGCTGAAGGATACTACAAATACATTGGAGATGCTAAGACAGTCGAAAAATTGCCGTTAATAATAGCTACAAAATACAACGTGCCATTTATTTTAAAAAGCCCAGGTCAGTATTTACCTACAGCACTAATTTTTAATGTTTATTTAAAATAAAATATGAAGTATAATATTTACACAATTTTGCATAATTTACATTTTATATATATATATAATATATATATATATATATATATATATATATATATATATATATATATATATATATATAATATATATAAATATATATATATATATATATATATATATATATATATATATATATATATATATATATATATATATATATAATATATATATATATATATATATATATATATATATATATAATATATATATATATATATATATATATATATATATATATATATATATTATATATATATATATATATATATATATATATATATATATATATATATATATATATATATATATATATATCGCAAAAAGGAGTACGACCGTCTATCCAATATTAATAAGGATCACTCAGACGAGTGGTGGGTGCAATTATCGGTCAACTAGGTGGAGAAATAAAAGACAAAGTTGATACTACTTCATCTATTTTGAAGACGTTTCGCTATCGAATTCTGATAGCATCATCAGTTCATCTAAAAATTTTTTACATTATGAGTACCACACATTCATGAAGAAGATGTTAAATAGTTACCTTAAAAAAGATATGTAGTTGTCAATGGTATTAAAAAGGTAGTACAAAAACTCAAATAAATGGACATCATATGGTGATATTGTATAAACAATTAAATAACTAACAACATTTACTAAGTCTCTAAATATATATATATATATATATATATATATTATATATATATATATATATATATATATATATATATATATATATATATATTCAAAGATAACATTCCAAATGAACAACACAGAGTTTATGAAATTCTTTGTGCATACTGGTTCCGATCTTACATAGGCCAAACCAATCGTAGAATTCAAAATAGAATTTATCAACATTCCATTTCTATTTTTATCGTCTAATTAAATTTATTGTTAAGAAATCAAAATAATCAAATGATATAAATTCAATATTATTCGCAATTGGAAATGTTACGTCGTGGTTTCGTAAGTGACTGTTTATCAATGACAAGCTCATAATGTAGGTCAAATGATTAAAATATTGAAAAACAAAAAACATTAAATATTGTTAAATTTATTACTAAATACGGGTTTGTCTATTTTATTACTGAACGCAATTATTTATCCAAATATTTAACAATTAATATACAGTGTAGGTAAAATTTTATGGTCGGTATGGTAAAACTTAACAGGATATCTAACACAGATATAAAATCATATTTTCAGCGAATAGATAAAGATAACAATCATATTCCCCCTCGGTATCCCCTCCATAAATCTTCTTGACGCCCATTTTGCCTGTTAGTGAGACGATTAGTTCCGATCAGAGATATTTTACATATTCTGTGGTTCCGATCCTCATAAAGCTAAGAAACTAGAGGTGGGTCCTTTAGTTTTTTAAATTTTTATCGGGACCGTTTTTCGTAAACTGTAACTAGTTGCTTGTTTACCAGTATTCAAATTAGCGAGTACACAAACATATTGGCTATTATCGTTTATGTGTATAAGTATTAAAGTGAAAGAAACTAACGAAGAATATATTTATTATAACTTGAAAAATAAATTAAACAATACAAATAGTACTTACATTTACATGGACTTAAGTCATCTTTATCAGTTTCTTTTTCTTGTACTAGTCAGTTTTCAATAGTATAATCTTCTTTTTCTTTTTTTTTTATAGAAGTAACCAGCTTCAACCATCAACTAGTTGATTTTAAACGAATTTAACCGAAAATTTAGAGTTTAACACGGTTTAATTAGACTGTTGCCATTTTTCTGGAAACCATAATTCAGAAAACATCGCTTTTAAAATTAGTGAAATTATTATTCAGTGGGGTCTAAAACAAAAAGTAAATTTTGCAGTAACTGATAATGCCTCAAATATGGTCATAGCTATTAAATATGTTTTGGAATGAAAACATTTAAATTGTTTTGCTCATACGTTAAATTTATTGATGGAGGACGCACTTAAATGCTGTCGTGTACAAATAGATAAAATAAAAAGTCTTTTTTTCGACAATTCAGCAAAAAACACATTTCAAAAAAGTACCTTATCTTCAGAAACGCTTTTAAAGTATCAATTACAACATAACAAAGATCCCAAACGGCCAATCCAAGACGTGGAAACTAGGTAGAACTTCACCTATTACATGTTAGAAAGAATGACGGAGTTAGAAGAGGCAATCCGTTCCACATTGGTATCAGTTAATACAGACTTAGACTTAGACCAAATCTAAATAATGAAGACTGGATTATTTTTCCGTAATTGTCCTAAATTTTACGGCCTTTTAAAGAAATAACAAGTACAATGAGTGGCCAAAAATACTTGAATGATAGTTCAGTGATTATTCTGGTACGCTGCCTGCAAAAATCTTGCAATAAAATTTTAGCAAACAGTAACCTTACATCCATAGTTAGTATGCGACGTAGTACGGGTTTTTATTACTAATTACGGGATAATTACTAATCTCGGGTTTAGCAAAAAGATTTAGAGGGATAGAATACAGTGGCATATTGTCATTATGTACGTTTATGGATTCACGATTTAAAGTGCAGGGATTTTTTGATAAAAATGACGCTAAAAAAACAAAAGAAAGAGTTAAGAAGCTGGTTACTTCTATAATTAAAGAACAAGAAGATTGTACTATTGAAAATCAACCAGTATAAGAAAAAGAAACCGATAAAGATGACTTAAGTCCATGGTGTATTTTTTCTTAGGTCCATCAATTAATTGGACATGACTCATCTAAACGTACACCTGTAGCGAGAGTCCATTACAATGGTGGAAAAACCATCGCCATGTATCTCCTAACTTAACCACTATATTCATAAAGTATTGTAAATGTGAACACATGTTCAAAATCAGGTTTAATTTTAAATAAAAGAAAAACACAATTAATAAGAAGTAAAGTAAAAAAACTTATGTTTTTAAATGTCAATTTAGACGATTCGTGATTAAATAATATCGTGTAATGTAAACGTAGGTACGATTTACTATTTGTATTGTTTAGTTTAGTTTTCAAGTTATAATAAAATCTTTTATTAGTTTCCTTCACTTCAATAAATATACAAATAAACGATAATAGCCATTATGTTTGTTTATGTAGGTAGTTTCTTACTTGAAACTACTATTAAAAAATCATAGTTACTTGTTTACGAAAATCGGTTTTGCGACGTCAATGACCCACCTCTATTCGTAAATACCTGTTTACCCTTTGATTCGGTGATTTGACCACGCGACACGCCACGTTGGCAAATAGTTTTGTACGAACCTTTTTTATTTATATGCAGTTTAATATTTTTATTGGAAATAAGGCATAATGTCACTTTAAAATAAGCTTATTTTGATGTTTAGATTTTTAATTCGGAAATCGTTTTTAAAATACCAAACATTAATAAATTTTATTTATATAAAACGATTTCCGAAGTATAAATCAAAATGTTATATTACACTTATTGTAAAGTAAAATTGTGGCATATTCCCAATAAAAAACAATAAGCTGCCATTTAAATCCATTTCGCCCAAATTTCATTATCTTGGAGCATTGTTCAAATGCGAAAAAGACAACAGGTCAAATAAAACCAATAAGTTTGGCAACGTTGAATTTCCCCTTTTTATTATATCCACTCATTTATGTTTGGTGATATAAAAGGCGGACACCTAATATATCTCTCTCTCTTTAAACAGTTGTTTCTCACTCCATCTCATGTAAGGTCCATACCGACCATAAACTTTTACCTATACTGTATATGTTATACTCAAATAAACGGACTAACTGCCCGGACAAAACTGTATAGTGAATGCCTTATTACAACTTACTTATTGTAGTTTTCTATCTCCCAGTTTAAACATCGTTCACCAAAATTACATTTTAGGAAATGGAACTTTCATAACCGGTGAAGTGTATGAAATAGATAATAAGGTTTTAGCAGATCTAGATATATTGGAAGACTATCCAAATCTTTACACGAGAGAAAAGTTTGATGTCAGATTATTGGACGGAAGCAATTCCTCAGAAGAAGTATGGATTTACGTAATTACTAACTTTCTTCCAAAGCTGCTGAACGAAGAATTTTACGGAACTTATGTTAGCTCAGACTCTCATGGGAGACCGTTTGTGCCGAGACATATGAGAACGGAAGGTTTACGCGCATATTATCATGAAATATTAGCTTGAAACTTAAGTATCATTTTTCTGTTTTTATGTACTTAAATATACGAAGATATTTTTAATACATTGGTCAAAAATTAATGCATCAACAAAATTTTTTATTGAATTTTCACCTCACATATCTTATAAAGATGGTAAAAATGATTTAAGACACTAAATTTAATTACTTAGTGGACTTGAGCGGAAAAATAAGTCGTGTCAGTCAGTTAAAATAATACAAAGCATTCCGCAGCTCATTTATCAGAGGCATAATCTGTGAATTAGAGAGCTAAACAATTTGTAAGAAACTGTAAGAAAAAAGTAAACATTATAAATTAAAATTTTCAAATCGAATATATAAAAGATATTTAAAAAAGCAATGACTTTTACAGTAAGGCAAACCGCCACTAGAAACCATGTTACTTTATGTGGAATTCATGCGTCAGCCAACGTGTTAAAAAAATAATAACCCAATTGCATAACAATAAATTTTTGACCAGTATGCCAGTGACGTAAAACGTACTTTTATCCTCATTAAACTCTTTATAATATGTAAGAGCGGTTTTGAAGACAATTTGAAGAGAATAAAAACAAACTGAATCCAAACAATTCGGAATATGACCGATTACAATTGGAAAATACGTTTGAGGGTAATAGTAGACGCAATCACAGCAACGCTATGAGCGACATAATAAGCGCGGAATATAATGATATTTGCACATATTTGTTTATTTAGTTAGAAGTCATACAATTGTCAAAAATATTTGCATTTAAATATTTCAACAAAATTTTAATTGTATTATTTCATTATTTGTTATTAAAAATGAAACTATTCCAAAATAAGTAACTGCCAATGTGATATGTCCCAATCAAAACCAGTCAACAACGCCCAAAACTGAGTCCAAATAAAATAACAGGTTTTTTACTCCTCTTATCAGTAAGTTCTTACATTTTTATTGGTGAATCAAGAATTTTGGGTAGGGATGTTTGTTACTAGTCACACCACTAACGAATAGCTGTTTAATGTATTGTTTTTTGGAGGTATATGACTAAAGCAGAAATATTATTTGATAAAACGGCAAACCAATGAAAAAGAAACGTTCCTTTAAGAGGCGTCACTTCATTAAACTTACAGAAATAGGTCAAGTCTGTGCACATTTTGAGTGAAACGAATACTATACCTACTATCTATTATTGTTTCATGATTAAACTTATTTTAGGAAATGGCACTAATATTATCGGTGAGGTATATGAAGTAGACGACAAAGTTTTTGCCGATTTAGATATATTAGAAGAATATCCAGATTTTTATACACGAGAACAGTTTGACGTTACTTTGTTAAATGGTGGTTCTTCTGTAAAAGTGTGGATCTACGTTATTCAGAACTTTAATCCGAAGTTATTAAATGAAACGTATTATGAAAGTTACAGCAATTCAGGGTCTCATGGAAAGCCATATGATCCTAGGTAACATATTACTATACCTAATAATTGTTATATATTTCATTATATGTCGTTGTTCAGTGGAGTGTAGTATTGTTTCATAATGAAGCTTATATTCATTCGCTAAACCCATTTTGTCATTTTGGGACGGATCAGTAGGATTGGAGTAGGAATATATTCCAAATTAATATGGAATTGAATTATTAAAATAAAAATTTGCTTTGGTTCTCTTCTCTGACATTTCAAACACGTTTTTTAGATTAACTTCAATTAGGGGAGCCTGGGTACGGTTGTAACTTTGTAACAACTCGAATATTATCGAAACTGTGTACATTACCTTTCGCGCGGTAATTGCAGTTACAGTGAGACCTATTTTGTTTTGTCAACCAAAATAAGTATTTTTGATGAATTTCTTTCTGTTATCACTTTAATATTAATATTATCACGTAAGTATTTCAAAATATGCTTATGTAATCGTCGAAGTTTAGAGATTATAATAAGCTTATATGTTTTTGTAGCGGGTGGGGATGGTTGGAACGATTTTAATGGTGACGATTGTATTGTGTGTATAGGCCCTATTTTTGTATTACAGATGCCTAGGCAACGCATAAGAAAGACATCGAGAGGTGAAAACGACATATTGTTGTACAAGAACGCTTACGATGAAATTAAATTAGGTGTTTCTTTAAGAATAGCAGCAGATAAGTACGGCGTTAATTATGTTTCTCTTTTGAGATACAAGCGAAAGAGAGATGCATAAATGAAGATGACCAGGGACAGCTGGAAAATATTAAAATGGGATATGTGGCTCATAACAGAGTTTTTAACGAAGACCAAGAACGGCAATTAGCGAAGTATCCCATTCGTTGTGCGGATATATATATATATATATATATAAATATATTTATATATATATTTCGGTCTCTCCACAAAAGAGGTAAGAAAGTTGGCCTTTGAACTCTTCATTCATGAAGAGAAATTCCGAACTATCTATCCGCGCTGCTCAAGCCACAAACCTGTCTCGGGTGACAAGTTTCAACCGATATAATCTTAAAGTGTTTTATGATAATCTTCAGATTGTTAAGTATGGATCGCGATAACTTTGAACCTCAGGATATATTATATATAATGTCGATGAAACCGGCGTTACTACAGTACAGAAGTCTGACAGAGTTGTTGCAAGCCGCGGCACAAGGCAGGTGGGCGCAATTACTTCTGCCGAACGAGACACTTTGGTCACACTAGCATTTGCAGCTAACGCATTAGGCAAGGCCATTCCACCTATGTTCGTGTTTTCTCGAATTATATAACAAGAGCATTTCATTAGAGGCGGACCAGTGGGATCAATCGGTACCGGTAATCCATCAGGGTGGATGCAAAAAAGTCATTCATTATATTTCTTAAACATTTTCAAAAACATACGAATGCCTCTTTGTCGCATAAGATATTATTGGTACTAGACACTCATTCGTTCCATATACATATCAGCTCCTTAGATTTTTGCAAAGATAATGGGATAGTATTACTGTCATTTCCACATCACTGCTCTCACAAGCTACAGCCCTTTGATAGATCCGTTTATGGGCCTTTCTAAAAAGCCATTAATACCGCCTGTGATGCCTGATGCGAAATCATCCAGGAAAAGTCATGACTTTACGACATACCAGGTATTATAACTATCGCAATGCTACTTGCTCTCACTCAGGTGAATATCCAGGCTGGGTTTCGAAAGACAGTCTTCCCAATCCCAATCAACCGCGATTTGTTTCAAGAAATTGATTTTGCGCCATCGTTCGCGACAGACGGGCCTAATCCAAATGCTACTGAAGAGGTAGTCATTTCTAATCAACATAACATTTGACTTGCACCTGATAACGAATCACTATCACCTTCGTTATTGAATGAGGATTCACCTTCATTCAGCGCAGTAAGCCCAACTCAGCCCGAAAATAGAGCTTCAACTAAAGAGGCTGTATCGAGGACATTTACTAACAGTGATTTAAATATCATAGTACGCCCAGCCAATCCTAAAAAGGAAACATTCATTGACCATCAAATGCTTACACCAATTGAAATAGCTGAGCTCGAAGCAACAAAAACACCACCTAGACAAACATATCTAGAACCTAGCCAAGAATGGCAAGCTGCTACAATGAATCTGGAATCAGAAATCTCTCCTCGTGATGCTGTTTTGTGTCAGCCATCAGAACCGTCTACAAGAAAGCAGTCTGTATTCTCGCCTGAGACTTTACGGCCTTACCCTAAAGCTCCACCTAGAAAACTAGGAAACAGGAGGTCGAAAAACCAAAAAGTCTGTTATCTATACAGATACTCCAGAAAAGGAAGCTGCTAGAAAGGAGTATGAAGAGCAACGGGAACGGTTGAATAATAGACAAACAAAGAAAAAAGTTTTTTACTCAGATTCATTTTCAGTCCTGAAAATGAATCTGAGTAAAACTAAGCTAATGTCGAATAAAGATGATCAACCGACGATAACCATCCAAGGAACAAAAGTGGAACATGTAGAAGAATACATATATCTGGGTCAGAATATCAAGGTAAACAAAGAAAACCAAACTACCGAAATAAGCAGACGAGTAAGAATGGGATGGGCAAAGACAAAAAGATACCCCAAAACCTTCGAACCAAAGTGTTCGATTCTTGTATCCTTCCCGTTCTCACTTACGGAGCTTAAACCTGGACATTCACAAAAAAGAACATGGACAAGATTCGAAAAACTCAGCGAGCCATGGAACGACAGATGCTTCGTATCTCACTAATAGATCGGCAAACGAACGAAGCAATCCGGAACAAAACAAAAATAAAGGACGCCGCGAAACAAGCAGCTAAATTAAAATGGAAATGGGCTAGACACAACGAACGTCTCGAAGATGGTAGATGGAACAAAGAAGTCGGAAACTGACGATCGTACGATGCGAAGAGACCAAGAGGAAGACCTCAAATGCGCTGGAGCGACGATATCAAAAGAGTCGCAAGACCAATGTGGAAACGCCTAGCACACAACAGGGATGAATGGCGAGAAATGGGAGAGGCCTTTATTCGACAATTCGGATAGAAAAAGGGCTATAAAAAAAGTACTTGAATCATCTACTGAAAAGGTAATAAACATAAAGGGAAAGGAAAAAACGAAGAAAATGAAGATTAATACTTCATTAGAAGAATATTATTGTCTTATTTACTTAGAGATCTATTCAGCGAGTCGATCTGGAGGAATCAGGTAGCTGCTAACAATGGTCTCACGTGGCCTGTCCTGATGGGAGTAGATATAAATGCCACAACCGTAATGAGTGTGATTAAATATAGGAAAATATAATTTGTTTAAACTCAGATTTTGTTTGACAATTTTTATTAATAATTTTGGTTTGATTTTGTTTGGTATCTTTGATTAATAAATCTGGTTAAAAATAATAAAACTGATATTATATGTGTAATTTATGCATTATTTTTGAATGTTACAACCGCCCCTGGTATGGGTCGGTTGTAACAATCGCACACACTTATTTAAATGACAAATGAATATTACTTCACATCAAAGACTTTGATCATTGCTTACAGCTATAATAGCTTTGCTATCAAGCACTACAGGAAAATTGTTACAACCGTACCCAGTCTACCCTATATTTATGTTGTGTTGTCCTTTTGTATTAACTCTTCCTGTGAAATGTGTACACTTGTATTTTTTTGTAGTTACTTGAAAGCTAATGACGGAGGAACCAATTCCTTAGACCTATATACCGATCAATCTACCTGATCAAGCTGACCTAATTTGTAGTAGTAGTTGTAGTTACTAACATTTCTGTTATCAATATTGATGATATTACTTTCTCAAACTACTTTATTTTAGAGATGCATCCACACTTGAAGAATTAAATGCATAAAAAATGAAGATAATCAGCAGCAGATGTTATTTTTGTAGTATTTCTTACTGCCAAAAATTATCCAGAGTTAGTCATGCAAATATGTATTGATTTTTTGATTCTATTGTTAAGATTTTCTGATTGTAATATGAAAAATAAAGATTAATTTTGTTTTAATTCAACTGTTCTGATTTTATTCATTAATGTATTTTGATTAAGAACTTGAATCAGTGAGTCCAAAAATATAGTTTTCAGAAATCTACATCTAATCTAAAATTCTTAATTGGCGAACACAAAAAAGCTTCATGTCTGATCTAACGTAATGTAATAATTTTAACTAATAAATGCTAAAAGACTTTTTTTGTACAGCTGGAATGGTCGCTATCTTCACCAGATAGCTTTGGGACAACCAGATCACAGTCAAAATTGCTTCTGTGGTTTTTCAATGAGGTAATTCTCACTCACGGGAACGGTACAGTCAAAATCACTGCCTGTCCGGTTACTTCGCCAGCGATCAAGACTGGACTGCCGGATTGGTGTGAATAGGTCAGCCACCTGTTTTCAGTTGTTGTACCACTTCGATATAAGTAATCCAAATTAAACTGAATAGAAATTTAAAAAAAAACTGTTATACATTACAAATGAAAATTTTTTTACAATATAAGTTCACGTAGGCGAGGAGCTTCTTTTGAAAATTCTCGACGGAACACTCCACTCTTCTATTGCGATCCCAATCCGGAAAACTTTAGGACATGAAACTGTTGATAGTGCTTAATATTGTTCTGAAGCTATTTTCTTGTGGCATTGTAAATTAATTACTATTTATAACTGGGAATAAGCCACAATTAAAAATAAAAATACGTTTATTGACGTTTCAATTTCCAATTCGGAAATCGTTCTCAAAATACAAACAGTAAATTAAACAAATTTTGTTTTTTGTTACATAGTGAAAAAATTCTTCTAATAATTTAATTTTATCTGACTCATTTATATTGACAATTCAGACATACATTATGCATTTTAAAGTAGACGACTTTAAAATGATATTGCCAATATTGTTGAGTTGCGCTCCTGGGACGACTTTACCTATAAGATAGTTCATTCGATTACATGAAATCAACTTTAACTTGAGAATATCCGTCAGAAAAAATCATAGCATGTAATTCGTCTTTAAAAAGACAAACACATGACATGATGACAGTAAAATTCTCCTGTTAGTGATTCCATAGTAAATTATAAGGGAAAAACCAGGAAAAAAACCTCATAATACTATCCCGACATTGTAAGTATTTGTTTTTCCCTCATAATTTACTATGGAATCACTAACAGGAGAATTTTACTGTCATCATGTCATGTGTTCGTCTTTTTAAAGACGAATTACATGCTATGATTTTTTCTGACGGATATTCTCAAGTTAAAGTTGATTTCATGTAATCGAATGAACTATCTTATAAGTAAAGTCGTCCCAGGAGCGCAACTCAACAATATTGGCAATATCATTTTAAAGTCGTCTACTTTAAAATGCATAATGTATGTCTGAATTGTCAATATAAATGAGTCAGATAAAATTAAATTATTAGAAGAATTTTTCACTATGTAACAAAAAACAAAATTTGTTTAATTTACTGTTTGTATTTTGAGAACGATTTCCAAATTGGAAATTGAAACGTCAATAAACGTATTTTTATCTTTAATTGTGGCTTATTCCCAGTTATAAATTATGTTGATAGTACTAGTGCAGTTATGACGAAACACCTTTTGCAGAAAGAGAAGAAACAGATGATGTAACTTCTTTTTGACAAAATTAAGGCAACACATCCACAATGATAACAGCCAACTTATCAACCTACCTCTATACACAATACGCCATCCTAGTATTTTTCAATAAGCTCTACTAAAACTGCTGGTTCTTACTTAGAAGCTTTTGCATCAGAAAACTTTTCTTTGATAACTATGTACATATTTTTTTACAATACAAAATTTGAATCATGAACATAATTTTATTTACTTACCTAAAATTTAGAGTTACTGTTCTTTTATAGTTAGTATCCATCTTCATTATGTCGTCTTTAATCAAAGGCAGCTAATTAACGAGAAATTGCAATGCAACATGCAAATGCACTGTACGAATTTTGCCTCGTCGTCCCCTTTTTCTTTCCTCGATAAAAATATGTTGTGTACTCTCGACGAAGCCTCACTTTTTCTTCATCTAAGTAATGCTATTTTGTAGAGTATTTTCCCCTCTTATGTATCTGGATCTTGTTCTGGAACTTGATTTGCCTGGATTGTGTGTGTGAATGAGTTGCCCCTTGACGGGGATTTGACTGTGATCTGATCATCCCGTGACTGTTGCTTTGAATCAACTTTTATATACCATGGGACTAGGTCCCCATCTTAACTTCAGTCTACTGATACATGCTACACCCCTCTGTACACGCCTAATTAATTGGAAGTATCCACGTGGACAACAGAGGAAGTGTCTTGTCAGCCGAGTTAACGAGCATTTGTGACACTACGCTCAAAGCTTTGTTTTTGCGCAGTTATTGTTAAATCACCATCAGGTGCCACTTTGTCCACAATGTATTTTGTTTTCTTTTATATATTTTTAGCCATCGTATATTTTTTTTTATTTATATTATGTAATTATTAAAACAAAAATAGGTACTACGCTGCAGATAGGATTCGAATTTGTGCGGGCAGAGTTCATTAGATCTGTCGTTGTATCACTCGGACAACGCAGGTTGACGTAAGATAGTGCATAAGAAAAAACTCTAGCTGCGATATTTAACGAGTAAATATAGTTTTTTCGAAACCAAAAGTAAAAACTTTTTCTCCGCATAGCTTAATCAATTTTCCTTTCTCCGTCATCTGTTTATCTGTTGCAGTTTAGGCTGTATTAATCCGAGGACACTTTGCATAAAACTGAAGGATCGATTTTTGTAAAATTTTTATTCCGATCAAGTAATATGACGTGTTCTCCTATAAAGAGTTTATGGACATGTATAATACTAAGAAAAGTATGTTTCATCCATTTATTTGTATCTATAAACATCGAACATTTTGATTGTAAATCGACTTCAAAATATTACAACTTTAGATTTTTACACCTAGGCATTGAAAATTCATCATTAAACAAAAATACAAAAGTTGATATAAATAAAATTTCTTTTAAATATTAGGGATCAAAATTTTATTTCTATGTATAAAGTTTAAAAAAATCTAGTACCAGAACAAACGGAGGGAGACTTTTGAACCTCATAATTTAATAAGAAAATATATCTACATCCTTTTAAGATATGTAGAAGACATATCTAGAAAACAGCTTATCTGGCAATTTACAGTTTAATATATTTTTGATCTTCAGTTATTATTGACAGTAAACCGTTTTTGTGAATGTCTTTTGGAACAGGACGTCCCATTTTTAAGCCAGCTTAAAAATTATAGAAAATAGTAAAAAATAAATGCTTGAGATCTTATTATTGGTTTTCTAGTACTATTCTATATATGTTATCTAAAATAGGTCACAGAAATAGTATATCACAAATTTGAAAAGCTAAATCATATAAGAATATGAGCTAACTATAAAAAATTGATGGTAAGCATGATAACTTACTTGAAATTATTGGAAAACTTGATAGTACCATGGGTTAATACAAAAATAATTTAAACCCTGACTAAAGTACTAGTCTGAAACGAAAAATAAATCTTAGAAGAATGGTGTGGGTTATTTGCCCATTACATAAAGGACAAGATTTATAGGAATGTAAAATGATGAAAAGGTTGTCAATGTGAGTCCATAATACTCATGTATAGAAAATGAGTCAATACTCACATTCTTAGGGGGAGCGCCCACCAAACTGGCATGGCAAGTAGCACGCGTCTAGCATGTTACTCGAAATGTAACCAATGCAAACGAATGATTAGAATAAATGACGTCATTGTCATTTTGGCGTGCGCTGAATGATTCGTTTTCATTGGTTACATTTTAAGTAACATGCTAGACGCGTGTTACTTGCTACTTGCCATGCCAGTTTGGAGGGCGCTCTCACTTAAGTAGTTTTTATATTCTCTAAAACCACATACATTTGTTTTGTGCGTACTTGAACGTACTATTTCTTGGACCATACCAAAGTGATTTTAAAATGGAACAGATCTTCATGCTACGTTAAATATTAGAAAAACTCAAAGATTTTTCAGTAACACATTGATACTTTCCAAGTCTTCTATTGTGCAGTCTTCTAACGAAGGTTAGGGATTACTCCCTATCTTGTTCAACACTGAGGTTAGTCCAATCTCTGATATTCCTCAGCCAAGATTTCTTCCTTTTCCCTAAGGTTTTTCTTCCCTGGAAACATTTTAAGTTGATGACAGTGAAAACTGTAAGAGATGCTGATTTATACAATAGAGAAAATGTCTAGTTAATCGACGAAAATTTTGGACGAATAATAAAGGAAACAAGTAATGGCGTCTATTTAGATTAATGAAGGATGCCAGGTTTACATTTAGATTAAACAATCACCTAAAGAATAGAAATTTAGGCAAAAAAAAACAAACTAGCAATGTAGAAGACGCTAATCTTGCCAGTGCAAACGTATGGATCGGAACCATAGATTCTTTTTTAAATATATACAAATATTTTCTCACCTTGGAGCAACGGATCTTAAGAAGAATGCTTGGTGCAATATGAGAAAACATTTGGGAAATGCAATATAATTTTGACCTATAAAAAACACAAAGAAATAACTCATGACACGGATGTAATACCATTCATAAAAATAGGTGGGCTAAGTTAGACCAGACGACAGTGTCCTTGCCATTTCATAGTGTGAAAAGAGGTCAAAAGGATCCTGTATTATCAATCCCTACGGGAAATATAAGTAAAGGTGGAAGACTAAAGGGGAAGGATAGTGTTGACGAGGACAGAGACAAGCAGACATATTATAAGGAAGAACATACCGTTGTATTTATGCTGTTTCCTGTATTATGCAGAGTACAAAACTTAAAGTTTAAAGCGTTTTAATGTGTTACCTACTGTTAAGAGATTGATAGATCTTAGTATACGGATTTTATTTGACGAACAGATTAAGTTTCTCGCGGAGTAAGAAAAATATTTAATGCAAATACGTAATCATTTTGTAGAATTTTATTAACCCTCCGGAAGTCGCGGCTGATCTGAGAGATACATGGAAAATATTTTTATAAAGAAGTGCATCATATAATTCTACTGCACTGTTTAGCTTCACATTTATGTCTTAGGAGTGGGGAAACACACAATGTGGGCTTTCAGGTAATTTCTAGCGGTTGAGAAGTGAACGTTAAATAAACGTTTCTTCCCATCTCGATCAGTTTTTTTTCAATCGTATTGAAACATTAAACTTAAACGAATGAATCTCTGAAATACACCCCGAACTATAGAGTACACTTTATGACCGCGACCTCCGAAGGGTTAATAATATATTCGTATGCAAATACATATGTAAATGTATTTTGATATTACTTGGACGTCAAATAAAATTATTTAATTTAAAACATTCTTAATGACGCATTTCTATCTTTTATTTACTGCTCTGCATAAATTTACCTTGGTTTTTGAGCATTCACTTGGATTAACGAAACAATACGAAGAATCGAAGAAAAGAGAACAAGAACACAAACAAATCAATATTCAACATGACAGTTTTATCATTTTGAGTATTTTTTTAAATATATGCTTTTTGCCATTTATTAAATTACCTGAACTTTAAAGAGATATTGCTTTGAGTAAAGAAACGATACCAAGTTGCAACAAAAACGTCGAAAAGAAGACAACACAAAACGAACCAATATCCAATATAGTTTTATCTTTTTTGAGTATTTTTTTAACAGCAAGACAACTTCACTAATTTAAAAAATATAACTATCACGTTTTATGTCAAATGTCACTTTTACGTCAAATGTTACGTAATTGAGTGGTTTTGAGGGTTTGTGTAGATTCGTCCATTAAAGACGAAAAAGGGAACGATATAAAAAAGACGCTTGCCGAAATTTTAAGTCATAATGGCGAATTCAACCTCAAAAATAATTTGTAAATTAATTTAAATTTAAAAACGGCTGCTAACTGCAGGCGGCGGCCATATTAGGACGGGGCTTGTGAAGTCAACATATATCGTTCTCATTCTTACTTACCTAAAAAGTACTTCTCTCTCTCTAACACATTGATTTCCCTATATCTATAGTAACTCTAACGTAGCTTATCTACTCTTTAAGATGAGAGAGCATAGAACTACAGATTTGTACACAGTATATTTACTTAAATCTCAGATAAAACACTACAACTTTCTCTTCGGCGAAATCTGAAGAAAAAAAATATACACATTTTTCTGCTTTTCGAAAATAGTTTAGCGAAATAATATTACAGTAACTGTTGTTGCTTATCATTAAAGCATTTATTAAATCTTCCTATTTTCTATAGTTTTTAAGTTACATGAAAAATAAAAATAGAAAATCCTGAGAAAATTTCCAAACTGAATGTTTTAAGAGCTTTGCTGGTGTAACTCAACAAATTATTAATTTTTAACTGAAATGACGTTAGTGGAATAAAATTGGATTTGCCTTATATCGTTAACTATGATCAAGTTCTTAACCACATCCTTTGGAAATCTCAAATAAATACCGTGACAAAGAATAATTATTATACCATCTATGAAATAAGATACAATCATTTTTATGAGCATTTAAGTGTCTTTTTCGAGAATACGACCTGCATTTGCTGAATAAACTTTTTTGACAAAGGGAATCATTATATATTATTATTGAAAACAGAAAACATCGAGGGCCCACTCAAGTCTCCATTAAAAAAGTAACAGACACGATTTTTTCAAAGTTATTGGATAAGTCAATCAACCGTAAGTAACATTTTTTCGCTGGCCACCTCTCTCGACACAGTACACATTGGTCTCTATGGATTATTAACGTCACTAGCTGTCGTTACTTAGAGTATTGTAACGGTTGGCGAGGTTCCATCTGGGACCTTGCGCAGAGTTTATCTTGGATTGTTCCGCTTGTCTATGTGAGGTCGATCTATTGGACTGCACTACTTCAAATGATCCTTCGTTACGATTTCTGAAAAAATAAATACGAAAATGAAATCATCGCAAAATATCGATAAGTTATAAATCTAGTTGCAGTGTTGAGATAAAAACTATCTTCCGTCTTCTCTAAACAGAGTAGAGAAACTTATAGAGAGATATCTCAAGCATGTATCTAAACTTTTTAAATAACATTGAGATATACTTAATTGTGTATGGAAGCTCATACATGTGTAAGTAATCAATTGGAAAATTTACAAGACTACCAAGTAAAACATAAGTGACATTTTCAGAACCTCTCTTCCAAGATGTTCCTTCTAATTGGTTAAAACAGCGCTATATGGGGTTCTGATTGGTGCTTTACTCCATGTGGACTGATTATCTAACAGCAAACCTAATATCGGATGACTGAACCAATTCTTAGAGATTAATGCAAATTTATAAAAAGAAAATGCTTAGAAGAAATACCAGTGACCACATTAGCCATGTGTTTCATTCAAAAAATACTTCTATACTTCCTTAAGTGCAGAATATGATTCGAAGGTTGTTACATATGATTATTCTTCTTGTTTTGGTGCCTATCCTCTGGGGATGTTGGCAATCACGGTGATCCATACAACTTTGTTGACAGCTGCTCTAAATAGATGTATGGTAGTCATTCCTGCCCACTGTCTGATGTCCTTCAACCACGATAACCTTCTGTGCCCTTGAGATCTTTTGCCTTCTATCTTGCTTTGTAAAATTTCCACATTTCGAAGGCTTCTAATTGTGTAATCTTATTTCCTGTAAGTGGTCCTATTCCTTATTTAGGCTGCATCTAAGATATGTAATTTTGTCGACTATTTTCAAGGGTTCATTATTACCAATTAGAAAAGACACCAGATATGTCTATATATTATTCCAAGGATATTTACCCTATATAGTGAACACATAATGAGACTTGTTCTAGATGAATGCGAAGGTGGCATTTCTGTAGGTAGAGTTAAGGTGTCCAATCTTTGCTTTGCCGATGACACAATGTTTATAGCCCAAAGTGAGGAAGAGCTTACACTGACACTCAACAAACTACATAGAATTAGTGAAGAAGCTAAAAATTAATAAAAACAAGACAAAAGTAATGATTGTCATTGAAACAGAAATTCAAAACACTATTGGATGTGAAGTAGTTGAAAGTTTCATTTATCTAGGCAGCACTGTCAATAACAATGAAAGCTGTGAACGGAAAATTCGACGACACATATAGATGGCAGAACCACTATGTCCAACCTCACTAAAATATGGAAAAACACATAGATAATGAAAAGCACTAAGATCAATTTTGTACTGACGCTGCTTTTACCAATATTTAGCGATGCCTCTGAAATGGAGGCAAACAGTTGATAGGACAAGAATCGATGCAATTGAGATGTGGTATTAGAGAAAAATGCTTTGAATTCCTTGGACAGCCATAAGAACAACTACATCTGTTCTTGGGGAAAAAATATTAACAATCTTTTGACATATAATATGTGCCGGTGATATGGAAAGACTAGCAGTCCAAGTAAATCAGAAGCATGATGAAATAGGAAAGATGAGAATAAAAGAAGTGAAAATCTATTAAAACTGATGGAAAATGCTGGTAATGAAAATGGCTTGACTGAGGGTGCAGAGGCTATATTTTCCTCTAAATCGAACTGTTGGACTACTATGGGGAAATGAATTAAAAAAATTATTTATCATACTTTGAAAATCAACTATTTAAAATGAAAATCAACTATTTGACTGAAGCATCCCTAATTATAATGGATAAACGCTCCATACCATACCATGTTGTTAGAGAAAACACCAACCATGTCTTCAACCAGCTGAAGAAAAAATACTGATTAACATTTGAAAATCTTAGTTGTGCCAAAATATTTAAAAGTAAGTAAGTAATGAAAAAAGTGTTGTTTTTTATTCTATTTTACTTCTTTATCCTACACAAGAGGCTTAAATTGTTTTTAACGTAAGATTGTTAGTTAATTCTTGTTTTCTATTTCTACTTTTTTATTTATTTACATTGAATATTAATTTGTTTTATTGAACAATCCATTTATGCAATACTTATGTGAAATATTTGATTCAAAATGAATTCAGAATTTTTTTTGTAACTTGGCAACAGCACCAACTTAGATCTTTGACGTAGATAATGACATCATCGGAATTTATACTGTACCAATTGAATATTTTATTAAATTTAAAAATCAAAAAACTTACTTTTTATGATCACCAGAAAGAGATGGGAAAAATTCTTCGTTATGGATATCTGGAGCAGCTTTTGTTCTATTCAGCCTAGTACTTTGAACTTGGGTTTGTCCTGAAGATCGTAAACTTGGGGGTATATAAGTGCCAGTCTTAGATACATTAGGAAGTATCGGTTCCGGTTTATATTCAACTTTCTCCACTTCCGCCTCACCGACGTCGATGCGTTTCCAAGGTCCAGATTTCTTTTCTACATCTTGTCCAGGCTCATCTTCTTGTTGCTGTTCGGTGGTTTCTTTAGCTCCCGTAGTACTGCTTTCCGAATTTTGACCGATGGTTAAGTTTCCTATCTTCAACCCTGTGTAGTCTTTCTTTTCTTCCTCAAAGTCCTTCCATTCGTCTTGGTCCTTAGAAATTTATTGATACATTAATTTTACAATCAGTGTAATGGTAAAGTATGTGGAATAATACTAAACTCCTTGACAAAATTAACGCACCACTTTAATGAATCTAAGTAAATATTTTCAATATGAACACAAAATAAAACTAAGTTACATTGAAATAATAATACAACACATAATAAATAAGTCCAACATGACTTTATCATGACCTAAATTTGCCTTATTGTTTCTTTAAAAATTTGTTTTTGCCGGAAATGCGTAAATAAGCTAGCATAACTCCAAATTGCAACAAGAAAAAAATCACTAAAGTAACAATAAAATGCATCTGGGTCAACACTAATACCGTGTAGGCCCCCTCTACTTCTTATGACTACATTTAAGCGTCGAGGCATGCTTGATATCAAATGTTCAACCAAAGCTTGTTGTCTAAATAATAATAGGTATTCATAGACCTCGTATGTATGGGGACCAACACTGTACAAGCTTCAAAACAAATTCCTCCCCAAAACATTTTAGAGCCACCACCAAAAGGTTGGAGAGATATTGCAGCTGGCAAACCTTTCACCTCGACTTAGCCAGACACGCTCATGACCATCTGGAGATTTTAGGCTTACTCTAGTCTCATCGGATAAAAGAACTTGTTTCTAATCATCGATGGTCCAATTTTGATGCAATCTTGCAAAATTCAATCTCTGAACCCTGTGTTCTCTGGTAAGCAAGGGTTTTTTGGCCGGTTTATATAATAGCGGTAATAGCAAATTGCTGGTGACTCTCCTTTCTCTGAGAGCATGTTGTGCACAGAGTGCACATTTGTTATTTTTATACCAGGATTTTTTATTTTATATATAAGAAGAATTGAAAGACTACTATAATATGTCATCCAAACGAAGTAAAACTGATCCTTCTGTATCAAACAAAACAATAAAAATGTTATCTTTGGAATGTAAACTTCAACAATTATAAAGCACAAAGATAAAATTCGCAAAGCTGTGAAAAGTGAACAATCTTTAAATTTATCATCATTTGTAAATATCATAGTATTATCACTGAGATGGAAACAATGTTAAAATTACAGATTGAAAGAAGATGCTGGGGAGATCACTACAGATAAAGACTTTAAAGCTAGTAACAGTTGCTTCAGCTGATTAAAAAATCACTCTTATTGGTCATTGCAGAATGTGTAGAAGCAGAAAGTGCATAAAGAGGCTGTGTCATTCTATCCTGAGAAATTAAAAATTATGATAGGTGGATGTAGCTACCCCAACCAAACCATTATTAATGTAGATGAGACTGGCCTGTTCTGGAAGAAGATGTCTAAAAGAACTTTGGTTACACATGAAGACAAAATCTTTTCAGGTTTTAAGGTCACCAAAGATCAATTGTAAGTGATAGTTGGTGCAAATGCAGCTGTAAGTTAAACCTCTCTTAGTTCATTGCTCAGAAAATCCAAGAGCAGTAAAAAATACATTTAAATCTGGCTTGTCTGTGATTCGGAAGTCCAATTGTAAAGTTTGGGTGACAGCTTTCCTTTTTAAAGACTGGTTAAGTCATCATTCCTAATGCTAAACAAATTCCATTTAAAGAGATGGTAATCATCAACAATGCACCAGGTCATCCTCATGAACTCTAACTAGTTTTGAACCATATGTGAAAGAATTTTTGCCACCTAATTCAAGCAGCTCACTTCAACTGATGTATCAGGAGGCCATTAAAACAGTAAAAGCTGCATTGGCACACCTGCATGAAGGTATAAGAAAAAACATCAAGCATTTTAAAGACTTTTGGAAACAATTCAACATTTTAGATGCAGTGAAAATCATTGGACAATCTTGAAATTAAATTTCACAAAAAATGTTAAATGGAGTCTAGAAAAAAATGTGTGCTTATCATTGACACTAAGGTGAAGTTGACGCAAGCCTGATGAAATTAGTAATCTGATTAAAGAAGTTGCTGAAATGCAAATAAATTTAGAAGTGGATAGAAATGACATTCAGAAACTGTTGGATTGCAGCAATCAGGAGCTAACAATTGATGAACTCATAGAAATGCATGAGGAAGAGCAAAAAATGAAAGAGCTGGATTGCTTGGATCCAGTTCAAACTGAACTATTGACTGAATGCCTCTGTTTAATTTAAAGGGGATTACATTTTTTAGAAAATATAGACTACAATGAGGAGCTCAAATATTCTATAAAACAAGGAATAAAAAAATTTGTTAGCTTTTACAAAGCCTTCTACATCAAAATAACTTCAACTGGCTATTTTATATTTGTATATGCTAAGATTTTAATATACATTTTTTGTGTAAATCACCCTCAGGCCAGTTATTAATAAATGCTTACTAAAGTATAAATAAAATGAAAGTTTTAAAACACAAAATATTTTTAATTACGAATTAAGTTGATAATACGAAAAGGACAGTTTATAAACATAAAATATCAACAATATTTAATAAATAAACTCATATTTGAAAACAGCTAAAAATAGTTTTTCAGCAATATAGAATTTTAATACTTTGTTTCTTGCAGGTTCCATATTATATACTTAAAAAAATATTTATGCTCTTGCTAAGAAGGGCTAACATAGAGCAGAAAATTACTGTTTATAATCTAAAACAAAGCTGCCACTAAATAAATATAACAAAAGAATTTAAATATTTTATGAACAAAACACATTGTCTTGGGAAGTGTACATGTGCAATGTACCTAGTATGTTTTTGTTACTTAAAAGCAAAAGTTATCAAACCATTGTACATCCAAATATACAATTTTAACATTCATGGTAGTTGTGGCCCTATGGCTCAAATTAGTATCTATCTGTAAGTACCAAAGCTAGCAGTAAAACATTACAACAAAAAACCTTTGTTGAAAACATTTATAGGAATGTACAAGTATGACTTTGAATAGCTTGCAAAACATTCAGAGATGTTTATAAATATTAATTAATCATTGAAGCTAAATAAATTACTAGCAGTATCATTAAAATGGTTAAAAACATCTAAAACTGGATAGCCTTCAACAAAACATATACAGCACTTGTATTATTGATCATATTTCAAGATTAAACTGCAGTAGGGAATTATAATAGCCAAATAGCTCCAGCATTTAAACAATATCAATTTGAAACAACTGTTAACCAATTTTTTCTGGAATATTTTTATTTCTTTGATCTACTTAAAAAACAAAGATCTCTAACAATAGATTAGTGAAAAAAGGATGGAAATTAAAAGAATTATTTAACGACCAAATGCATTGCTTCTTAATCTTTTATATTATTGGGCGCCAGTTCACATAAGTACAACCACCTAATTCAAGGTTTTTGTTTTTTCCATTCTTTATGAATACTTTTACAACCTCAGCTTTGTGTTCTAAAAATAACTCGGCAGTGGGTGAAATTACATGAGGTTTTCTTTTCATGTAAAAGATGCAAATATTTACGATTTTCTCTTGTTTTTTAAGGGTTATAACCTAACACATGTGGCATTATATTTTAGAACTTCAATATGGCTGGCGATTTCTTAAAATATTAATTACACACATACAAGTACCGTTACATACACTAACTTTTGAGATACTTACTTGTTCAGTAACTATACTATCTTCGCCCTCATTAACACGTTCTTTCTTTAATTTTTCAGTCTTTTTTGCAGTGTCTTCTAGCTTCTTGGCAACTTCTTCAGTGGTAGCAAATTTTTTTGTACTTTTGGACTTCTTGCGGTCTTTTTTGGCAAAGAAATCATCTAAGTCTGCCATCTTTTTACCAAACGAATGATTTAGAGAATGCAAATGGAAAATTTGGCAATTTAATGACTAAATTCGCACCTTTGATATGCAGAGCCGGACCGAAAGGAAGTGTCAAATAAACGTCACCTTTTATCCGTCACATCAACATTTTGTACGTCAACCTTCTTGAGCTACGTTCCACCTAGTTGAAGTATGTTCCGTATATGAAAATAATTTAACAGGAATTAATCTAATTTAATTAATTGTTCTCCATCTTATTGTCGTTGGGTGTAACAGTAATGGCATATTAAAAATATTTATTTAAAACTTAATGGTATTTATTTGTAAATTATTTTCAACCAAACCTACAACAAAGGTAAATGAAGTGTTGCAAATAATAAATAACATAAATAAAAATAAAAGAGTAAAAGAAACAAATTATAGTTTATCATCGCCACCTAACAATCGTTTGTATTAATTTGTGATTTAAATGAATCTTAATGTTTCTATCAGCATTAATTTATTATTTACACATTTTCTGAAACGAATTATAGAAATTAATCAAATTTTATTATTTTATAGAGTTGTTCACTATTTAATATGCCATAATGTATAAGTGTACAACGTACAACTGTGTATATCAAATTTATGTATAACCATATTTTACCATATTGCATAAAACCTTTTGAATTAAACGTGTTAATAGGGCTGCCTAGTTAGTAGTTCAACCCAATACATTTTTCATCCCTTCTCATTTTCTTTAACTAATATATTAAAATTCGAAAAGACTAGGTAATAATGAAGGCATAATTTTTATTATTTTTGGTATTTCTGCCAAAGAAAATTACCAAAAGCTGAAATTTTCTTAATGTACCCGTCCATGTAGCGCCAGTGTCTTAGTGAAGTGTTAAAAATATCTATCAGTGTATTTGGGTAGGATTTTTTAAATCAAAAATCTATAAACCGCATAGGCATCTTTAAACCGCATAGCAGGCTATGTATTTAGGACAAAAAAATAGGTTTTACAAGTGGTTTCAAAGGCAAAAACACAAGAATGCAGGGGAAGAGACCTATTGGAAGATCGAGGAAGTGATGGAAAATCTCCTTATATAATTGTAAAAGTATAATCTTTTTATATAGACATATCTGTTTCTGTAAAATGTAATCTAAGATCTCCACTTTGTTATGATAGTGAGCTTTTAATTTTACCAATAATAAATATAGCTAGTAGGTTACCACTTTGTACTTTTTTTTTATTTCTCTAACAATCTTTCCTTCCTTTTTCGTTTCATTGTCTTTGGCTATATATTGATTTAGAAAGAGGTTAAACTTGTTTGTTATACATTTTTATATTTTATACTGACGCGGATTTTGCTGCAGCCTTGACCACAGCAACTCCACCACAACTTGACCACTCCATGCAAGATTCAATCTCTCTTCAAGAAGTTGAAAATCAAGAACTGGGTGTTGAATACCAAGAGAAAACTTCAGCTGTGGTTCCAGGAAAACATTTGGCAGATTCGTAACAAAATATTCGATGAGTTTTACTATGTACTATTTTATCTTGATTTTAAATAAATAATCTTTTCTTTTCCATTTATTGGAGATTTTTTGTTTTTTAATTTTAAACTTACTATAGCTATTTCGTTTCTTTTGTGTCTTCTGGGCTCTTCTGAGAGTTAACGTAAATGTTGTAACCACTGGGTTATGATCAAAAGCTATGTCAGCTCCTGGATATAGAATATAAAAATAGGTTACTAATTTTTAAATATTTAATTCACTAACAAATTTCATAAATGCTGAATATTTTGTCTAATTAATTGAATTAAATCATCGGCACCAACATTCTACAGTAATTATATGTTCTACAAATATTAATAAAACATCCTGTATGCACTCTATTAAAATAATAATTCTTACTATTTTATCTTTCATAACTTTTTATTCCGAATCAATCTTAAACTGATATCTGATTATCTTAACATGACTCAGAGATAATCAAATATTGTTTCAAATGAAATATTTTTCATTTGTTTTTTGTTAATAGTTGTGTTTTTCGTAATACTGTGAGATTTTACAAAAAAATTGTAATTAAAATGTTGTGGTTTGTAACACTGTTTTGTATATTTGGATCAATATTGGCTGGAGAAGATAATATTTTATGCACAGAGGAAACTTGCAAGGTAGGTTTCTAATTTTTTTCATAAACGGATACTGCTCTTTGGAATTATGATTATCCCCATTATCATGGTATTATCATCAATATCGCAATTTAATTCTGGCTTTTGTGGCAGTTATTTTTTATTTTTTTATAGATGTATTAATTTACTCGTTATTTTGGTTTACTAAAAAAAATGGTTCTTTTCAAACCACAAATTATTATTAATGTTTGTTTTTCTATAATCTCTTAGCAATTAAAATAGATTTAATTTATTTTAAAACTTATTTGAAAACATTAATTTCGGGAATATAAGGCAACAGAAACAAAGTAAAATTCAGAGACTAGATTTGTCAAAGCTTGAGGGTGAAAAATGTCAACAACAAATAAATGAAGCAGTTGCACCAGCATTCGCAGAGGTGTCAAAAAAGATACTAATAGTGCCTGGAACGAAATGAAATCGGCAGTACTTAACGCTGGTTAAAACGTTTGTGTGTTAAAAAAAAACCAATTTCCAAAAAAGACTGGATGACACCAGATATTATAAACCTCATAGAAGAAAAACGAAAATACAAAAATACAAATAAAGAGAAGTACGAGCAAATGAAGAAACTAATAGAAACGCAGATCGAGGAAGCTAAAGAACACTGGATGGTAGAAAATTGTAGAGAAATAGAAGAACTTAATATGAAACACGACACACATAGGGCTACATAAGAAACTGAAAGAAATTACAGGAAATAATCGGAAGAGAATACCACAAGTTATACGAAACTCCAAGGGGGATCTCCAATTATCAGCAGTAGAAAAACAACAAACTTGGGAGAAATACATCAAGGACTTATTCGCAGATAATAGGGAAGAAATAAATGATACATTACCAACTAATGAAAATCTAAAAATTCTGATATCAGAGGTTAAACAGGCAATTAAAATCTCAAAAAGTGGTAAAGCGCCAGGTCCCGATGAAATTCCTGTAGAGATATTAAAAATACCGAATGATGAAAATATAGAGTGTCTAACTAAATTATTTAATAAAATATACCACGATGTTCAAATCCCGGATGAATTATTAAAATCTATCTTTTTTACCTTACCAAGAAAAATTAATCCTAAATATTGCGGTGAGTACCGATTAATTAGCCTTATGAGCCACATTTTAAAAATACTACTCAAAGTTATTCAGCAGCGTATATATAAAAAAGTGGAAGAACAATTAGACAATACACAGTTTGGATTTAGATGTGGAATGGGAACAAGAGAGGCACTGTGCGCAATGACGGTTACTATTACAAAAATGCAGGGAATATAATAAAAACGTATTCATATGTTATATAGATTTCCAAAAGCTTTTGATAGAGTCCAACATGGTAAAGTCATACATGCATTGAAAACACATACACCTAGATCCCAAGGATATTAATTTAATCAAAAACCTGTACTACAATCAAACAGCGGTCGTACGGGTGGAAGATAGTGAGACAAACCAGGTGGAAATTCAAAGAGGAGTCAGACAGGGATGTGTGCTGTCGCCACAATTATTTAATGTGTACTCCCAACTAATATTTCAGGAGGCACTATGGGAAAGAACTGAAGGTGTAAGGATTGGAGTGAGCATCATTAATAACATAAGATTTGCAGACGATACCGCATCATGGCAGAGAATATAGACGATTTACAAACTCTCCTGGAAATCATTAACAGAGAAAGCAAAAAGATGGACTAACAATGAATATAAATAAAACAAATACATGGTGATCTCAAAAAACCCTGTTGACAACATACAACTGACATTGGAGGGTAAACCCCTAGAGAGAGTCGACAAATATAAATACCTCGGAGCAATTATAAACTCACAGTTAGATCAAGAGCAGGAGATAAAGGTCAGAATAGAAATAGCTCGAAAGGCTTTATAAAATACAAGTCAATGTTTACAATAAGAAATTGAGTATGGCCATCAGATTGAGGTTCGTTGAATGTTATGTTTGGTCGCAACTACTATATGGGGTAGAAGCTTGGACTCTGAAAGCCCAATCTATAAAAAAAATTGGAGGCATTCGAAATGTGGCTATATAGGCGTATTTTGAAGATTCCTTGGACTGCAAAAGTCTCAAATAAGGAAGTTGTTAAGACGAGTTTGACATGGCAGAAACACACAATTAAAATAAGAAAAACATCGTATCTGGGCCACATACTCCGAAACGATAAAATACTCTCTGCTACAAGTCATCATGCAAGGTAGAGTAGAGGGAAGAAAAGGCTTGGGAAGAAAGAAGAAATCTTGGCTGAGGAATATCAGAGATTGGACTAACCTCAGTGTTGAACAGATATTTCACGTTGCAAAAGATCGAGAAGCGTTTAAAGAAGTGATCGCCCAACCTTCGTTAGAAGACGGCACAAGAAGAAGAAGAATATAAGGCAAAGGAATATATTTTACATCCGTTTTTTTTTGTTTTTTTCGTCGTAATTATTGTAAATTTTGTGGATCCTTTGCTTTATTATAGGAGTACCGTCTAGTCAGTGTTAATTGTCAAAAGATCAACTCTGTCTACCTCGTTTGCTTATCGCTCCGGACCGGTCTTAACGATGGGCCAAGTCAGATAAATTTAATAATATTTACGACAGCATATGACGCTACAGGTACAACTAGCACTAGCTGCATGCTGGTGTTATCGTTCTGGTGTTGTCACTTTTAGTTTGTTCAATTTTAGGATATTCCATATTGGAATATCGTTAAAATAGTTAGTTATATTTTTCAAAAAACTATAAAAAATGTAGTAGCTCTGTATCTCAGATTCTCTTTTTTGCAGGATGTTAAATGTGATGAGCTGCCCATAAAATGTCAGATTCAAAATGCCACTCACAATGGACTTATCTTACCATCGATGACGACATGTAATTGTTGCGAGTATTGTTTAGAAAATTTAAGTAAGTAATGTCATCAAGTACTACTATATCAGATCAACTTTATTCAATTCAGGTTTAATTTTTCAACAAGTCTTTTCTATCTATAGTCAAACTGTTTATCTGTAAATTGGTACGGTTAGCGCGGATAACGAAAATCGCTAACTTGTTCTTCTTCTTTTTGTGCCACTCCTATCGGAGATTGGAAATCATCAAGGCTATTCTGACCTTGTTTACGGCTGACCTAAAGAGTTCATTAGTGGTGCAGCCAAACCACTCTCTCAAATTTCGCAACCATGACATTCTTCTACGGCCTGGATTCCGTTTTCCTTCTATTTTTCCCTGCATTATATTTTGAAGTAATGCGTATTTATGTCCTCTCATCAGGTGACCAAAATATTCGAGTTTTCTTCGCTTTAGCGTTAACAAAATCTCTGGGTCTTTTCCTATTCTTCGTATTACTTCACAGTTTGTTATTCTTTCAACCCAACTAATCTTCAGCATTCGACGGTAGCACCACATCTCGAAACTTTCAATATTTTTCATGTTGTTCTGTTTGAGAGTCCAGGCCTCTACACCGTATAATAGCGTGTTAAATACATAGCCTCTCAGCATTCTTAATCGTAGAGGGATGCTTATATTTCTGTTGCAGAAGAATTTTCTCATCTTTATGAAGGTGGCCCTGGCAATTTCGATACGTCTTTTTATTTCACTGTTTTGGTCTCCAGTTTCGTTTATTAAAGTTCCCAAGTATTTGTAACTTGATACTTTTTCAACTTGAGTGCCGTTTATACTAATATACGCTGGTTGTGTCATGTTTTTACTGAAGACCATATACTTGGTTTTTTTAATATTGATATTTATACCATAATTGTTGCAAGCAATATTTATGTCTGTAAGTAATCTTTGTAATTCTTCTACTGTTCTTGCAACTAGTACAGTGTCGTCCGCGTATCGAATATTATTTACAATCTCTCCATTAATTACGATTCCTCCGTTTGCTTGTAAAAGGGCTTCCTGACAGATGCTTTCACTATATACATTAAATAACAGAGGTGACAAAATGCAACCCTGTCGTACTCCTCTACGTATTTCTATTGCTTGTGATGTTTCAGTTTCTATTTTGATGTTAGCTTTCTGATTCCAATATAGATTGAGAATTATTCGCAGATCTTTATTATCTATGTCCTTCCTTTCAAGAATCTCTCTAAGCTTATCATGGCGTACTCTGTCAAACGCTTTTTCAAAATCGATAAAACACGTATGTACCTCCTGATTAACGTCTAGGCATCTTTGTGTGAGAACATTCAAACCGAAGAGAGCTTCTCGAGCACCAAGCCCTTTTCTGAACCCCATCTGTGTATTACTAATATCTGACTCCAACTTTTGATAAACTCGGTTGTGGATGATTTTTAGAAATATCTTTAGTAGGTGGCTCATTAAAGATATTGTTCGATGTTCTGAACATTCTTTAGCATTAGATTTCTTTGGCAGTGTAACGAATGTAGACAACAGCCACTCTTGAGGTATAATGCCAGTATTGTATATTGTATTAAATAAGTGCAATATTATACCTATTGATTCATCATTCAAGAGCTTTAGCAATTCGGTAGGAACCTCATCCGGTCCATTTGCCTTCCCAGTTTTGGAATTTTTAAGTGCCATTTCTACTTCACATTTTAGAATTTCAGGTCCCGTTTCGCCATATATCAGAACAATGTTATTTCTGTTGTCCTCAAATAATTCTCTTATGTATTCACTCCATCTATTAATTTTCTCTGTTAAATCTATAATAATCTTTCCATCTTTGTTCTTAAGCAAACTTATTTGACGTCTTCTTTGGGTTCCTGTAATTTCTCTTACTTTTTTATGTATATTGAACGTGTCATACTTTCTTTCATAGTTTTCCATTTCTACACATTGTTCTGTAATCCATGATTCTTTGGCATTTCTTATTCTTTGCTTTATGTTCTTATCAACCTCTTTGTATTTTTCTGCATTATTCTTCATTTTACGTCTTTCATCCATTAGTTCTAGAATGTCTGGTGTCATCCACACCTTATGTTTCTTTGCAGATTTGGTTAGGTGTTTCTTTCCCGTAGTTCTTATTATAGTATTTATATACTTAAGTTTTTCATCTATGTTGTCTGTTCTGCGGATTTGGCTTTCTGCTACACTGAGGCTGGTGTTTATTTCTTCTCGCACTGTTTGTCGTAGATGTTCATTTTTAAGCTGGCTTAAGTCTAATGCTGGAATGATGGCTTTTCTTATTTTCTTTGGTCTAGCTTCTATCACAGATACTACTGGATTATGATCCGAACCGATATCAGCTCCAGGGAAAGTTTTAGTAGATTTTACGGCATTACGGTATCTTTTTGTCACCAATATGTAATCTATTTGGTTTCTGACCACTTTTTCTTGTGTATGTTGAGGTGACGTCCACGTATATAGTCGCCTTGGGGGTAGTTTAAAGAATGTATTAGTTATTATTAAATCTTCGCTTTGACAAAACTGAACTAAACGATCACCCCTTTCATTTCTATTACCTAAGCCATATTCACCGACATTTTCTCCACTTTACCCTGACTACCTTGGCGTTCAGATCGCCCATTACTATGTTAATGTGTTGTCTCTTTGTTGTTCTCATCACCTCTTCTAAGATATTATAGAATTATTCTATTTCCTCTTCGTCTTTGTCTGCTGTAGGAGCGTACACTTGTATGATGTTTATCATGTTGGAGATAACTTGTTGGAGATCATCAAACAAAAGAAAAAATTAAAAATTTAGTTTCACCTAAGGTTTCAATTTAAAATTTTCAATTGTTACAGTTACATTTACTTGCTTCTACTTCTTTTATTGCCCAAACTTATTTCCTAATTCTACATTGTACTTTATATAGCATATGTTTTTCAGTGAGCAGTGCATTGTCCTGGTTCTTTAGATATTCTAAAAGTTTATTTACTTGATACAAGACCCTTTCGTGAGTCACTAATCCTCCAGGTGCAAACCACTCTTCTTCTTATTCTTTATCTCTTTGCTCTACGTTTTCTCCTCGACATTTTCTTAGATTATCTTCTAATGGATACTCAAATACAATGTCAATTGTGTTGCGGTCTAACCACTTTTGCAAGTTTCTTGCGTCCACATTCACTTACTAACTTGTAAGGATAGACAGTTCATTTTTATCTTCTCCAACTGTTAGTTCTTCACAATTTTCGATGTTTGGTAGCAGCTTTCTCCATAACTTCACAATTCTACAGACTCTCTGCAGAAGCGGTTTCTAAATACCTACAGTCCAGAATAGTGTATGTTATGAAAACGCTCTTTTTGTTTGTACTACGTTGAAGTTATACTATAGGATCATTCCCATTCTATATTTTTAGATGAAGGCGAAGAGTGCAGTATAGGTGACATAAGCAATCCGATTGTGACAGAAATATGTGGACCTGGATTATATTGTAAAACCCCTAGTGAAGACGAAAGTGACGGAATATGTAGTCGAAGTAAGGTGGTTTATTATATAGCATAGTAATAAGAATTATTGGTAAACATTGGAATATTTAATAACTCTTTTAAGATATAATTTTCAAATACAGAAGTCAAGTAATTGATGGATATAGAAACAATTCAGTCTCAGATAAGTTTTTGTGGTTATACATAATGTTGAAAGTACATCTTATATTTGTACTGTTTAGTGATAAATCTAGTTTAAAATTAGAATCACAGAAGATAGGCCACAGCTGTAAAAATTATGCGTAATAATAAAGTAATTTTAACGTATCCGCCTATAACGGCTAATTTGGAATTAGTTCATAATGTAATGTAAAATGGGGTATGGTATAATTATCTGTACGTATTTTTAATAATTTCTTTTTATTTAAGTGGTGACAAGTTGTACTAAAAAGCAAGATGATTACGATGCAAAAAGAGTAAATGGTACTCTAGGATATATGGAAGTGCGACAGGATTGTGATAGTGAAGGAGAGTTTGTACCATACAATTGTATACCGGGTCAAACGTAAGTATAAAAATCCAAAATATATTTTTAAATGTCGTGGGTACCCGACATAAGTTATGCTTCATGAAAATTTGTTAAAAAATCTAATTATTGCAAGCCAATAGTTATATTAAGCTTCCCAATTCTTATTACTGAGATTAAATATTATCTTGCTGTCTTCGTCTTCTTATCGTACCATTTTCTATTGAAGGTAGGCATCAATTTCAGCGAAGTAATGTCTATCTTGAGCTGCTCGAAACAGTGAATTAGAGTCCAAGCAGTACAATCTCTCTTCTTGCTATCTAATCATTAGATTAGGTTTCATTAGTATTCAGATAATATTATTTGATGTGTTGTTATATTCTTCGTCCTTCTCTCTTTCATTTGACATGACGTACACCCTTCTCTGATCAATAATTCCAAAAAACTGTAACATCCTTTTGATATCACTTTTGCCTTGTTTTTTTAATATTCTGTAACATGGATTGACCATCCAGAGTAATTTTCTCATTTTTATCCATATAAATTTTCTGGAGGTACCTATTTTAGGGTATCCTATATGCAGTTAACAACACAGAAGAAACAGAAACATGTCAAATCAACATGAAACATGATAATATACGGGGTCGCTTGCTACACTTGAGAATACTAAATCTTATAAATAAAAGATTTAAATGAAATTAACTATAGATATGTATTTCTAACTTATTGGACGTCATCATTATGGTGCAGCCATGTTAGAAAATCAGCTTCAAATACATATTGGAAAGTACTGTATTTTCACACAATACATCACCCAACAAAAAGCGAAACGAAGGGCTTTTTTGCAATCCAAATTTATGTGAGATCAGCCATGTTCTAAATAGTTTAGGTTTTACTGAGAACAATTACTTTCCAAGTGTTGATTAAAATATTATTTATATTTTAATTTATTTATACTTAATTTACATTATAGTAACACCTGAAACTAAATGAGAAAACTGAAGAAAAATGCAGTTCCATCAGCTAAATTGGCCAACGATCTCATGAAGTTATTAGTAGAAACGTAAGGCGTAATTTACAAAATATAACGTGGCCAGCTCCAAAACTGCCTCACCCTCAACGAAAGATCTCTGCCGATCTTGCAACCTTACAAATAATTACGATAATGTAAATTTTACTTCCCGTGTTTCAGACATAGTGTAGAAAAACAAACATTTTATTTTATTTTTATTCAGATTTGGGAGTCAATTTCCTTATTTATAAACTCGAATCACAAACAAATAAACTTTACTGAAGAATTTACTACAACTTTTACTTTGGCAAAACACACGTGTAAATGATTTATATTAAACGTTTTATAGCTTAAGACAGATTTACATTATGCTATTTTCATGCTAGGCAAGAGCCATGCAAGACAGATCATGGAACTGCGCATGCCACGGGGCTATTTCCATGTAATTCCTCTGCTAGACGAAAAATTAGAACATGTTCCATTTTTCATGGTATTTTCTTGCAATTTATCGTTAAAATTCATGTTGCCAACATAACAATTTATAATAGATTACAGAATAAAACATAACCTTATCTCTATCTTTAGCGTCCTTAGCCCACGTGTGTATTGTTGTGTTTTGATTTAAATTAAGTTTATTAAGTGGTGATAAATAAATATACTATGTCTAAAGTTAATGTAAAAACGACTGGGTGAGTCGTTGACTATAGATGATTGTTGCTACAACAGCAATATTCAACAATAACAATGTTTTCTTTTCTTTGGTTGACATCCTTCACCCTTTTAATTAACCATAAATAGTGTATATTTATTTATTATATTATTTATTTTAGTACTTAATTATATTTATTTAAAATAAAATAACCTCAAATTGATACATATTTTTCTGTTGGCAACAATGAAAGTGGAATCTAAAATTGCACAAAAATATCTCTGATGTAAAAAGGTCAAGCTAGGCAAGAGATGTGCCATGCAAGACGGACTTGCATAGCATGAGACTTGCATAGCCTAGATGTAAAGCTGCCTTTAGATATCAAATGACAAAATGATTTGTTTTCCCGAAGTTATCGTCCATCTTTGAAATCTTCAGCGCCCTCTGTCTGAATTGGCTATTGCGAATAGTTTTGAAACGACTTCCTTATTACTTTTCTTAGTGTACCAAGTAGTTTAACTGTCACTGTCACTCCGAAATTTCTGTCCTACGAACATCAAAGGTACGGGTACGGACAAAGCTTTCGCTGCTTTTTGTTGGGTGATCTATTCTGTGGTGAAATGTATAATTATTTCTTATTGTCTCCATAGTAGCTTATGTAGGAGTAGAAGAATAAAGATGAGGAAAATTTAACATAGTACCATACAAATCGTAGGAACCGATAGAACGTTTCTGTCGGGTATACTACGATATATCACGTTTCTTTTACATCTATTTTGCTATGCTAATTTTTATTTTAATGTATACATTTTTAATATACTTTATATAAATATATGTTTTTAGATGTTACTGTGTAAATGCAATCGGCAGCAGAATTTTTGGAGAAGCAGATTTTACTCCAATTCCAGAAAGCGATCTTAAGTGTAGTAAGTAAATAAGTTATGATTTTAAAATAGTTCATCATACTAATATTAAATTGTTGGTTACCTAGCAAATTCTCTAATGCGAAACATAAGACAATTAGAGATTTATCAACCAAAAGAACAGGCAGGATTCTGAAAAAGTTACAGAACTAATGACCATCTACAACGCACAAAAACATTACTAGCGAAAGAAGTGGAACACAATAACCTTCTAGTGCTAATATTTATCAATTTTCACAAAGCCTTTATTAGGTTAAGAATTTTCAGAAAAGTGGAACAAGACATCACTGAAACCCAATTTGGATTTAGGAAATTCTTCGACTGTATTGTACGTCCTTTTTATTTTGCTTTCGTTTTAAGTAATACAGAAAAACAAGTAGCTATAGTTGGTGTTAATTTAAATTCATACTGTACTGTCATCGAAAGTTGACAAAAAACGAGAAAATTGACAACTATGATGTTTTGGTGGAATATAGAAAGCATAAAGATAGCTTGAAGGATCCAGCAGAATCTAATCTGGCATGGTATAGAACGGTGGAGAACGTTATAAACCGACAAGTAGTAGTAGTAGTAGTAGTAGGTTTGATTATAAAGCAATGAAACTCGTTTTTCCAAGGACTTCAGTATCAACCAGCCACAACTAAGAATAAAAATTGTTGGTTGGTTATTGAAGAAAAACTGTGCTTTGACTTATTCATGATAACCAGTCGAAAAGGACCGAAAACGAAAACAAAACTCAAACAAAACGTAGCCTGCTTGATGAAAGCAAGAGTTTTAGATTTGTTCCAGTTTTGATTTTTTAAGGTTTTATAATATTCATGTTTTATAACTCTTTATAAAGTGTTCGATAAAAATATGATAATTTATAGGAAAAATAATAAGATCCACTACCATACTTCAAATTGTTTGCAGCTAATATTTACGTAATTTCTTATGTTCGTTCCCTTATGTATTTTATTACTCGTTATAGAATGTTCTCGTGACTACGAAGAGGCAGTGGTGTTGATGGGAAGAGAGCTTAGACCTGGCGAGTTCTTTAAGTGTGCGTCCAATGGAGATTACTATCCTATTCAATGCATGGATGAGAAATGTTTCTGTGTTGACACTTACGATGGCGTTCCCACCTACCCTGATGCTAAAGCTATTAATGTTACTGACATATCCAAAGACAATTTAAAGTGTTGTAAGTAAAAACTGTGCAATTTTATTTTTTCCGTTTTATATAAGAATAAGAAAATAGTTTTCCGCAAATCGCCAGGAAATTGACATTCCTGTCAAAATTTCTTGAAGAAAAAGTACAGGACTTCCTTACTGTAAGAAAATGTCATTTCCTTACTGTAAGGAAATGATATTTCCGTACAGTCCGTCCCAAACCTTTCTTTCAGTGCGTCATAGTTGTTCGAATTCTCTCTAACGCATTAAGCTAGAAGTGACAGAAAAAAACGTGAGTCTCTGATTATTATACATAGAACTTAGAAAATTAGGTATCGTTCACGGGTATTCGCATATTAAAGCGAATTCTACTTACGAACGTATAATTGGTTGGAGTTTAGAATACGCTAAATAGATATCCAATCAATTATGCATATAAATATAATTTGACACAGATGATCTTGATAATGACAGTGACAGTACTTTCACAATGTCAACTGATAAAATGATAATTGCCATTCCAGGTTAGTATTTTCAGACATTTTAACTACAGTGAAAATTAAATTTTGTATTTATTGTCATAAAAATATTTTAAATATTCCGAGATATACCGAGAATGAAAAAAGACTAATATTAAAATTATTAAATTAGTTTCAATTAGAAAAAGAGGCTGAGACATCTTTATTATCAGTTTCTGTCGTTCGCGAATCAGATTGTGAATTCCGGAATGAGATTGAGGAAATATCTTAAACTAATGCCTTTATGGATATTTATATGTATTAAAACGGTTCTTTTTAGAACCACGACATTTTCTTGAAATGTAGGATATAATTGATACCAGCCACATATCTAGTGTAATCATTGATTTTCAAGAATCAGATTCTGAATGGGATTATAGATTGTTTGAAATATAATATTCATTTTTGTTATTCATAAAAAAGAAGGTAAACTTACATTCGGTATCTTGTTTTTTAACTAAACTCCATTAGCACGATTTCATCTGGATATCGGAACTGGTAGATTAACTCAAAAATCAACTGCTTCACTATTTAAACTATTTATATTGTTTTTTTTTAACTAAACTTTATAACCTTCTTTCATTTGCACACCAAATCTGGTAGAATAACTTTAAAATCAACTGCTTCACTATTTAAACTATTTCCACTATTTAATGACAACTCTTCACAAAATTAAACTATTGGCTGCCACACAAACTTATCAGAAAATTACTTATCCAAATATGACTGATTTAAATCGATATTATTTTATCACAGGAATGTTTACTTTGATGCCTTGCAATTGTCAGTAAATTTTTTTACCTTGCAGTCAACTCTTAAAAGATTCTAGGAGGAAGCGTTATTTTAAATAAACAAACCTTCCAATTCCCTAGTGTTTGTAATAAATAATAATAAATCCATAAACAAATCTTAGCTAATTAAGCACTTTCCATGGAATGTATAAAATAGAACAGAATAGAATAGAATTATGAAAAACTGCTATGCATTAAAAAAAAATAACCTTTTCACGTTTAGCCGATTACGATCCTGCAACTGTCAGATTTAACTAAAATGTCATGCAATACTTCTCGACATTCTTAAAATCCTATATGACGTTAAAATTAGTGACGCACTGAAAAAAGGGTTTGGGACAGACTGTACAGTTGTTAGTGTTCTACACATCGAGCAATAAGACAAAAGAGGGAATGTAAAGGTAGTGGGGGTAAACATATTGATAGACAGGAAGTGCCATCTTGAGAGGCCACTTTAGACAAGGATAGACAGTCTCTTTCCTTGTTTAAGAAGTCAAATTTAGTTAGGTTATGTTATTGTTTGTCCCAACTGTCACATGAAATTTTATTTATATTGAAATCTTTTACCAATTGTGTCACTTTTTAGACTATTATAGTTAATATTTAATTAAAACTTTCTCGTCTGAAAAATATTTTATAGCTATTGTTAATAAGTGTTGGAAAATTTAAATTTAGCGCCTTTGCATTTCCGGATATGTCCGCCATCAGAGGCCACTTTTTTGGTCTCCTTTTCATAACGATTAGATTCCCTCTTTTATCTTTTTGCTCGATGGTTCTACATAAGTTTGACAATTCAACCTCAATACGTTTCCATAGTAACCCAAGTAATTTTATTAGGAATTTCAAAGCACCATTTATTTGGGAATAAAATTATCGCGTTTTTTTTTTAATCAATCAATATCTGTCGAATTTTAAACGATTTGCGGAAAAATAGTATGTTTACCTCGTAGGAAAAGCCACATTCCTGGACTCTGTGTTGCTAAGGCTCGGCTTGCGTCTCGACTTAGCAATCTTCACAGTCGTCCAGGAATGTTAAGCTTTTCCTACCCGGTAAACAATGTACTATTTTTACATTTTTAGATTCTGGACAGAAATAAATATTTATCAGATATTTTTGCTAATTGATGTTAAAAATATACAGTATATTTACATTTTGTTTTAGATAAAAATAATAAACCAGGTATATTTTACGAAAAATGCGAAAGTGATTATTTGGAAAGTTATAAAGCCTATAAGGCTCTAAAAGACCAAGGTTTTAGTATAATGCTTGGATTTACATTTCCTAACTGCGACATAGATGGAACTTATAAAGCTCTTCAAGAGAATTCAACACAGTGAGTAGAAAAAAAAATATTTCGATATTTGTAGATGTAACGGATTTCGTTTACCCAAACTTGTATTACAACTTTTATTTTATTATAAGTATTTCTTAGGTATTAAAGGGAAATTCGTTTCATTTCTTCTTCTTAGCCTTTCTAATCGTCCATGTTTGGACATAGGCCTCTCCCAACTCCTTCCATTGGTCTCTATCCTGAGCAACATATTTCCAAATTGTTCCGGCTATTCTTTTAATGTCATCAACCCATCTCATCTGTGGTCTTCCCCTTGGTCGTTTACTTTCGTAAGGTCTCCCATGTTGTATTGTAGTATTCCAACGTTAGTCTTTTTATCTAGCAGTGTGGCTCGCGAAGCTCCATGTCCTCGACTGTTATGTCCTCGACTTTTGTTCTTGATCTTACCCAGTCGTTCCTCTTTTTATCTGACAGTCATATATTTATCATTGCTCTTTTCATTGTTCTTTCTGTTGTGACTAGTTTATTCATGTTTGCCTTGGTTAGGGTCCAGGTTTGACATCCATATGTCATGATAGGAATGCATTGGTTGATCACTTTGCTCCTCAAGTATTGGAGTATTTTGCGGTTCTTAAATATCCAACAAGTTTTCCAAATCCTGCCCATCCTAGTCTTGCTCTTCTAGTAATTTCCGCACTTTGGTTCTCTTTGTCAAGTTTCAGGATTTGGCCTAGGTAGATATATTCTTGGACTTGTTCTATCTCATTGCCATTTAAAGTTATACGTCTGGGGTTCACTGTGTTTGTCATTATTTTTATTTTTTTCATATTCATTTTTAGGCCAACGTATTGGGAGCTGCCTGCTAGTTCCTCTATCATAATTTGCAGTTCCTCGAATGTGCTCGCTATAATCACTATGTCGTCAGCGAATCTGAGGTGGTTTAACTTGTTGCCATTTACGTTAATGCCATAGGTTGACCAATTTGTAGTTTTGAAGACATCTTCTAGGGCTAGGTTGAAAAGCTTTGGCGATATTACGTCTCCTTGTCTCACTCCTCTCTTAATGGAGACGGGATTTGTATTTTTGTCTAGTTGTACTATCATAGTTGCATTTTCATATATATTATATATTAGTTGACTATATCTCGAATCTATTCTACAATTATTAATAGCTTGTTATATGGCCCACATTTGACCATAAATTATTGATTTCATCTCAGTGTTAATGTGCCATAATGGGTTTCGCCATATAGTGTTATTAAGGCATCCTGCCAGTCTATTTGCTTTTGATCGTATTGGACTTGATCTCTTCTTCTTCTTTGTCCAGATAGCTAGTCAGTGTAATTCCCAGATATTTTATTTTCATTACTTGTTCAATACTGATGACATCAATTTCTATTTTACATCCACTTATTCTTGTTGTAGTAAATATTGCGTGGACAAGGAAGGATCTGTCTTAAATGCTGTTCTTCAAACTGATACTTTAGCGAAAACTATGGATTGCAGTAAGTAAAACTTTATTTAATAAATGGTGTTATTTATATTCTCATATTATATAGTCTATAGTGTAAGCCATTACCAAATTGTTCGTTACCTTTACCTTTTTTCTTTGTTTCCACAGTTCACAGATACTCAGTACTCATATATATTCCTAGTAATATTAACGAGTTAACTTGTATTTATTTTTATTGTCTTTATAGAATGTACAAGAGCCAGACTTACTATGTCCAGTAACGAAAAGCCAACTTGTGATGCCAATGGAAATTATTCCCAAAAACAATGTAGAAGAGGAAAATGTAGATGTGTAGACTCGGATGGAAACCAGATTTGTAAGAAAGAGCCGTGCGAAGTTGACGAAAGTTTAGAAACAAACCTAATATGTCCAAAATAATAAGAGTATCTATTTATGTATAAATATACGTGTGTTAATAGATTATACAATCCAGAATGTACAAAGAATATCATTTTGATTAAGTAAACCCTTAAATTATTTTAATTTTGTTGTTCATTTTTATGTTGTTTACTTTGTTTTATTTTTATGCTGTTGTACTTTTTCATTTTTATTCTACTACAAATTTACTGTTGATGTTGCTTTAATTTGTGTCACTGATACGTTACTCGTGTGGGATGCGGGTTACTAGAAGAATACACCCATAGGATCTCCTACTTGTAAAGGCGACTATCAGGAGCAGATGACCGCTGTCCTTAACCAACGTTCCATCTTAGCCTTACCCATCTTACCCACACCCTGAGTGTTGAAAAAGTTCTTTTCTTTCTCTCTCTCAACTCACACACTCCTTAATGTTCCCACCATTCGCCAGTCCGTTTTACCATGCGTGGCAAGTTATTCACCAAAGCCGAGTGATTGCTAGTATAATCAACACCCTTTTACTGACCAACGGCTACGGGCGGATGACTTGTTAAGTGATAAAACTAACTTTTGTTTTGGGGTTAAAAATTGGCCCCAAAGACAGATGAACTTGTATTTGGTCGTCGGCATAAGGATGTAGAAGGCAACGTGAATCCCTTTATTAAAAATCGTCAGATTTCCCTAAAACAATAAAAATGCAAAATACAGTCAATCAGATGGCTTCTAGTCCACGGTGGATCTTCAATGGTTGAGAGGTGCTAGGAATCTCCATGAGGAGGATCCACGCGAATGTGACAAATAACTATAAAGAAAAGTCTTTTAAATTTGGTGACATGGTGGCATTTGGGCACGATTAAGGAAATAAACAAACTGAACCTAAAAATATAAGGCATAAGCGAACACAAGTTCTGCAACAATAGAGTACATATAGTTTTACAACTCTTGCTAAAAAATGTTCAGACGAACAAAAAAATCTACATTATCATAGAATGTCTAAAGTGAAAAGGATCCGACAAACATGATATTAACATAGTGAAAAATCTCTATTGAAATCAACAGGCTATAGTAATATTAGAAGTAAAAAGCACGGATACTCAACAAATAAGCAGAGAAGTGGGACAAGACTGTATGTTTTCACCATTATTATTTAATATATACTCTGAAGAGTGATCTACACAAGCACTTGAAAACTGCACAAGAGAAATCAAGATAAATGATGATATAAATAACATTCGTTATGCTGATGATAGAGTCATTATTAGGGTTGATAGGGTTGAAAACCTAGCCGGTTTTCCCGTGGTCTAGCCGCTTTTTCATTAACAAAACCGGTCAGTATTACGTCAGTATTAAGTTAAACGAACATCATAAAATTTAAAAAAACTGCTCGAAGCAATAATGAAATCGCACAAGCAAGAAAACATAACACAGTCTGTCATCGGTTGGTGGGTACATATATTTATTGCTCATGTATTAATTTCTCTATAATATGGTAGCTTACTCGCAAAATTTTGACGTATTTAGTTGGGATTTACCGAGATTTACAGACACATGAGAACGATGCAGTGCTGCTTCCTTAGTTTTTTGGACATACTGGAACCCTATTCATTGGAATTAGTAACAAACAGATCAAAAAAAAATTTCCTTTTCAATAGATACCGATGCCTCCAATAAAGGTAATAGAAAGTTTTTCCTCTTGATCGTTTTTTTGATACAAATGAAGGCATTTGGGTATCATTAAGTACTAGGACGTATATGGTTAAGCCTATTCCTAGCACCGATGGTCTGCTATTGAATTGGAATTTGATAAAAGCATATTTCTTACAACAAGGGGAGAACACTGCAATCGCATCATATGGAAGTTTATAGAAGACAAACCAGCAGATTATCCAACTTTTGCTGAATGCTATTTTGTCCATCATCTTCAATTCATTTTCAGTCTTCAATTAGTGACTGCAGCGAACTCTATTTCTGGCTAGTGCTTTAATTGCAACTGGTACAACTGCATTTCTTTGAGTTGGTCCAGTATTGCCCTTTCAATTATTCTTAGATCTCCCTAATTTCAGTCATTGAGGGTTCCAATCTAGCGCTCTCCTGCCAATATCATTCAGTCATATCAATTTTCGTTGCCTTATTTGTTTTATATGACATTTCCTTGGTTGGTTTTATTCCATATATTTTCGTTTGAGATTAGATTAAGCCAAAATATACGATGAATTTTTCGTAACACTCCATTGATAAGAATCTTAATTTTAATAGTGTGTAATAATAATAATAATAATAATAATATTGTTAGGTAAAGACCTCAGGTCCAAAACGACAAATGCCGATATGGATGTCAAGCCCAGAAACGATCCAACATCTTACCGGAGGCTGCCAGGCATTTGCTGCAACTGAATATAAGGAACGGCAATGACTCAGTAGGGAAGATCCTCCATCAAGAGATAGCTATTAAACTGGGACTTCTACAAACAAACCATCTCCCATATTATCAATACGTTCCAGAGAGTATGCTTGAGAATGACAACTACAAGCTATACTGGGATCGTACTGTGCTCACAGACCAAACTGTAGCACATAATAGACCAGATCTCGTGCTAGTTAATAAACTAACAAAACAAACAACTCTAATCGATGTGGCGATACCTAACAACAATAATCTGCGTGTTAAGTACAACGAAAAGATTGCCAAGTACAGAGATATGGAAATAAAAATAAGAAGACAATGGAGAATGGAAAGTACCCAGACGATACCTATTATTCTTTCTACCACTGGAGTCATTCCGAAGAACCTTCTTAGAAAACATAAAAAAGCTGGGTCTAAATGAACATCTATATAAGATCATGCAGAAAGCTGTGCTACTTTCGACGTCCAGATGCGTGCGAAAATTTTTAGGAGATACACCGACGTACCAAGTCACTTAGGACTCGATAACATGGAAAGAGTCCCACCAGAGCTCAATCCTTTTGATACCGTAAGTATCTGGGATGAGTGAATTTTCCCCTTAGAGGGAGTGTGAGCCGTATGGCTAAATCTGATTGTTAGGTATACTTTAGTGTGTCCCTAAAATGAAATTAATGAAATAAAACTCTACATTAAAGGGTTGTCAGTCAATGTCAGTGCAATCTCTAATATCTCTTAGCCATAATAATTTTGACCTACACGTTTCGGCTTTACCCAATAAACTCCAGTTATAATTAAATGGAATCTAAGTTAAATGACATGCATTCCGTCACAGCAATTCATTAAAACATAAATTTACAAAGTATTGCATTATCGTTTATTTTAAACAAACCATTGTGCAAATGAGTGTTTTAATTCGTTAATTTTAGACATTGTGTTACAGAATGATAATACTAATTGAGATAATAAAGAATTAAAATTAATAAAGTCATTATTGTGATTTCTTTATAAATTGGCCAATATCCAGTAGATGGCGACATCAGCTTTGTTTTAAAGCAATTGTCCACTAGAATTAATTTTATTATAAGTACATTTTTAAACCTTCTCGTAAAGTGTTGAGAAGTCATCCATATGAGAAGTACATCTATAACTTATAAAGATGTCCATCTATGAAAAAGAATCAGAAGAGCTATAAGGCAGCTTACATCTAGGCTCTAGGCATGCAAGTCTCATGCTATGCAAGTCGTCTTGCATGGCACATCTCTTGCCTAGCTTGACCTTTTTACATCAGAGATATTTCTGTGCAATTTTAGATCCCACTTTCATTGTTGCCAACAGAGAAAATATTTATCAATTTGAGGTTATTTTATTTTAAATAAATATAATTAAGTACTAAAATAAATAATATAATAAATACATATACACTATTTATGGTTATTAAAAGGGTGAAGGATGTCAACCAAAGAAAAGAAAACATTCTTATTGTTGAATATTGCTGTTGTAGCAACAATCATCCATAGTCAACGACTCACCCAGTCGTTTTTACATTAACTTTAGACATAGTATATCTATTTATCACCACTTAATAAACTTAATTTAAATCAAAACACAACAATACACACGTGGGCTAAGGAACGCTAAGGATAGAGATAAGGTTATGTTTTATTCTGCAATCTATTATAAATTGTTATTTTGACAACATGAATTTTAACGATAAATTGCAAGAAAATAGCATAAAAATAGAACATGTTCTAATTTTTCGTCTAGCACAGGAATTGCATGGAAATAGCCCGTGGGCACGCGCAGTTCCATGATATATCTTGCATGGCTCTTGCCTAGCATGAAAAAAGCATAATGTAAAACTGTCTTTAAGACAGTTTTACATACCAATAGAACCATGCCATTTTCTCCTCTCTTATCGGGTGCGTTCAGATGACCTCAACGACTGGAAAGCTGATTCAGCGCAGTGATTGAAATATTGCCCCTATAATATTATATTTCAATCAACGCTCAGCCACAGAATAAATAACAATCAAAGTGCCCACTCTGCTTGTCAAGATAAGTACGCGCATCTCGTTCACGCAGACAGAATCAGCCATGTTTTAAACGGAACCAGTGCTGTTCAGTGAAATTTTATCTGGTGTGCATAGAAAAGTTAACCCGGTTTAATTAGTTGTTTTATTAAGACCTAGTCCTACCCAGTAGTTTAATTAAAGAGTTGTTTAAACATTAGATTTGCTAATATAGATAACATCGTAGGGGGATATTTTGAATTTTATTATAATTTATTATTATTACTGAACCCAAATGAAATATCATTTTATTATAAATATTGACGAAAATAATGCAAAAATAGGTTATTTTAGATATTATACACATTTCCTAATTATTGCCAGTTATATTCTTTTTAGTTATTAGCACGTAGTAATTGGCAGTGTACTCAATCAGTGGCACCCAGTAATTAGCTAAATTTTTTATCAAAATATTGATTTTTCTTAGGGTACCTGTCCATGTGTGCCATTTCTCGTATTGCATTATGGATTTTACCTTCCTGTGCCATGGTTTTCACGTTCCATGTGCCTAGTCTGATGCCTTCTTTGCATTTTAATATTTTTGTTATACTTGCAACTGCTCCTCCCGGAGATCTGATTGAGGAGGTTTTTCCGGAATTGAATTTCGCTGCAAGCATAGCCATTTGATTCTACTAGGACTTATCCAATCCG